CAGTCAATAAAATATCTAGCTTCGATTATCGCGACCGTATCTACATCTGTTGTGAGAAGGCGCTGTCACAGTCATTGATGAGTAGTCTCGGGCCTTGAGACGATTTTAACTCAAGCCCTTTTATACTTCAATTCTTCAACTCCCGCAGTCTGCTTGAAACCACATATATTACTTCAATAGACCAGCTGCTTGGTCAGTGTCACTTTGTCCGCAAAATGTACGGTACAAAAGGCGCAACACGCGCCCTTCATTCCAATGCCCGGCGGTTCTCTACTGCCGCCCGACTACAAGCATCATCAGGTCTCAAGATCAACTCGGAGCGCCTATGGAACACGTTGCATGAGACATGTGAATGGGGTGCTGAGCATCGCTATGGCGAGTATGTATCTCCCATTCGACCCTTGAACACAATCTAAAGACGTAGCAGAAACCCAACAGACACAGGGATGGCCCGCCTGACTCTCAATAATGATGATGCCCGTGTTCGGCGATGGTTCGCCGCCGAAGTCCAGAAGCTGGGCTGCTCTCTTTCTGTCGACCAGATGGGAAACATGTTTGCGCGGCAACCAGGCCGGTTGAACTCGGCCGCTCCAATGATCGCAATGGGAAGCCACCTCGATACTCAGCCTCGGGGTGGTCGGTATGATGGTATTCTAGGTATCATGGCTGCGCTTGAGATCCTTCGGACAATGAAGGAAAGTGGGTTCCAGACTAACTATGATGTTGGAGTGGTTAACTGGACCAAGTAAGCATCGATATCTGTTCCGTCGTACCTGCCATTTAGGATTGTTGTTAACCACGAAACCATAGCGAGGAAGGTGCGCGATTTCCCAAATCAATGTGTTCCTCGGGTGTCTGGGCAGGTGCCATCCCAATCCAAAAAGCTTGGGACCTGCGCGATATTCACGATCCCAGTGTGACTCTTCGCTCCGAGCTTGAAAGACATGGATATCTAGGCGATATTGCTTGTTCTAGCGATCCAGTCACTGGATACCCACTCGGAGCCCATTTCGAGCTGCACATTGAACAGGGCCCGATTCTCCCGGGAAACAACCGATCAATCGGTATTGTCCAGGGTGCCCAGGGATACAGATGGTTGACTATGACCGTTCACGGAAAAGATGCTCACACCGGAACGACACCTTTCAGTGCCCGTCAGGATCCATTGCTTGCGTCGTCTAGGATGATTGCCGCTTCGCATGATATTGCTAAGCGACACAACGCACTGGCCTCGACTGGTATTATTAGAGTTCCATCGAACGCGTCTACGAACACCGTCTCATCGCAAGTGACTTTCACTCTTGATATCAGACACCCGCAAGATAGTGTGGTACACGCCGTGCAGGACGAATGCCTCAAGGCGTTTGAGGCTATTGCATTGCAAGATGGCAAGGGTGTATCTTTTGACTGGACGTTGGACACAGACTCGCCGGCTGTCAAGTTCGACGACAACTGCGTGGCGTCTATCCAGGCTGCGGCAGATCAGCTGGTTGGCCGTGAAAAGTCGATGCTCATGACTAGTGGCGCCGGTCATGATACGGTTTATACTAGCAAGCACTGTCCATCTGCGATGATCTTTGTCCCTTGCCGGGATGGTGTGAGCCACCACCCCACAGAATACTGCAGTCCCCAGGACTGGTAAGTCCCTCTTATTTCCTTGGAGATTTTTCAAAATCTGACCGTCGCAGTGCTCTGGGTACGCAAGCTCTTCTTGAAGCCGTCGTTCACTACGATCAATTCAGGGTAGAAGCTGAAGGGCAAAAGTAATCGGCATTTTTAGCTACATTGGCGTTAAACCGCGCCTAAATGAACATGTTATATATTACTACAAGTTTCACTCTGAATATCCCACCATTAGACAACACTTGAAAAAATAAGTATACCCAAAAGATCGTACATTTCTACCAAATTGCATACAAACGCTAGTGCGGAATCCAAGAGAGAGAATCCTACCCAATGGAGTAAGCAGAATAAATATCCGAAAAACTTCCATCAAATTCCAAAAATGTGTAGTTGATGTTGTGAGAAGGCGGAGTCCCCACCCGACATGTCGTCAGAAGGCGCGATGTTGTTAGAAGGCTCAAGGTATCGGAAATAGCAAGACAATAAAGTGTCTGCATAGCGCACAGATCAATTGAACATATACGAACGCATATCATGTCATCACGACGGTCGATCTACTTCAACTCCGCGGCAGCAAATGAGCGCAATGCCTCCCCGCAAATCGAAGGCCTAACAGCATTCCACCAATCCTTCCCCAACTATGCCCCAACTCCACTAGTCCAACTCCCAGAGCTCGCAGCTGAGCTGGGCGTTGGGAAAGTCCTCGTGAAAGATGAAAGCAACCGCTTCGGCCTACCATCGTTCAAAGTTTTGGGCGCGTCATGGGGCTGTTTCCGAGCGATTGCAGCGCAACTCGGCCTGCCGTCTACGGTCTCGCTCGACGCACTATCCAGCCGAGCAAAAGAAGCCTCAATTGTCTTGACGACAGCGTCAATGGGGAATCATGGACGGGCAGTGGCGTTCATGGCTCGACTCCTCGGCATTGAAGCGCGGATTTTCGTTCCTCGGTCTTTGAACCAGTGGACTCGGGATCTTATTGCTGGGGAGGGGGCTCGCTTGGTTGTGGTCCAGGGCGATTATGATCAGGCGGTGCAGAAGGCTGTGGATGAGAGCCATGCGGGGCAGGGTGTGCTTCTCATTCAGGACACTGCGTTTGAGGGGTATGAGGATGTTCCTGCGTGGATCGTGGAGGGATACTCTACTATGATGCACGAAGTCCAGAATGAACTTTCTCGGCTTGGCCTGTCGGGTAGTGTGGTTATCACCCCTGCTGGGGTGGGCAGCCTTGCGCATGCGGTCGCGAAACATTGCAAATCGCAGAGCACACCTATGTCTGTAGTCGTTGTCGAGCCTGACACGGCTGCATGTCTATCTTCTAGCTTGAATGCTGGAAAGCCGGTTACTGTCCAAACCTCTTCCACTATCATGGATGGTATGGACTGCGGCACAGTATCTTCTACTGCCTGGCCAGATATGCAGCGTCTGGTCGATGCCTGTGTCACCGTCTCATCCTATGAGAGCCACTGCGCTGTGCAGTATTTGACTTCCAAGTCTGTGGCAGCTGGGCCGTGTGGAGGTGCATCGTTGGCTGCACTGCGAGTATTGGCTACATCAAAGGAGGCTACGCCAATTCTGAACAGGAATTCTGTGGTCATTCTTCTCAGCACTGAAGGCGCGCGCGAGTACCCAGTTCCAAAAGACGTCTCTGTTGACGATGTCGTTGGCTTAACTCAAACTCTCACACAAATTAACTCTTCTAACCCAACCTTGTCTGTGACAGACGGAGTGGGCGAGACTGAAATCGCAAACTATCTCGCCGCCTGGTTCGCCCATCGAGACATCGAATATCACTGGATTGAGAAGGTCGCCGGACGACCGTCCATTGTGGGAGTCTTGAGAGGCAGCGGAGGTGGCAAGTCTCTCATGTTCAACGGCCACACAGACACCGTCAGTCTGTCTAGCTATGAGGCAGATCCCCTGTCCGGGTCTATTGGAACCAAGAATGGCAAAGAAGTTATCTTTGGCCGGGGTTGCCTCGACATGAAAGGGGGCCTGGCTGCAGGATTAGCTGCCCTTGCAGCAACCAAAGCTAGTGGCCGCGTACCTCGGGGCGATGTCATTGTGGCTGCAGTATCGGACGAAGAAGATGCCTCACAGGGCACTCAGGATGTCATTGAGGCTGGCTGGCGTGCTGATGCTGCTGTGCTTCCCGAGCCAACCCAAGGCGTAATATTTACGGCCCACAAGGGGTTCGTGTGGGTGGAAGTTGATATCCTGGGAGTTGCTGCGCACGGGTCCGACCCTGTGTCAGGAGAAGATGCCATCATGTATGCCGGATCCTTCTTGCAGGCTTTGGAGAAGTACCAATCTCAGCTGCCTGTAGACGATCTCCTGGGCCAGGGTTCGCTACATTGCGGCTTGATTCGGGGTGGCGAAGAGCCTTCCTCTTACCCGGATAAGTGCACTATCACTGTCGAATTCCGCACTGTCCCAGCCCAAACAGAACAGTCTATCCTAGGAGACATCAGCGCGCTACTGAAAGAAATTGCTCAGCAGAAGACTGGTTTCAAATACGCCGACCCGCGAATTACCATGTCGCGACCTACACAGAAGGTGCCAGCTGATCATCTGTTCGTGCAGAAGGCTATTGCTTGTGCCTCTGCTGTGATGGGGAGCAAGCCTGCTGTTAAGGCTGGGCCGTTTTGGACCGATGCCGCCTTGCTTGGTGCTGTTGGTATCCCATCCATCGTGTATGGCCCGGCTGGAGAGGGCCTTCACGCCAAGGAGGAATGGGTCGAAGTTGAGAGTCTTCAACAATTTGAGAAGGTGTTTACTCAACTTGTGCAGGATATTTGTTATTAAATATAGACGTCTGTATATAAGTATGGCTTAGAAGAACATACCCCAATCATTCTTTTATGTTTCCCTTGGATTTTAACGGCATTGCAACCGAAAGATAGTACCGCTCTTTGTGTATGCTTGATAATGTCCCTGGTTAGATATATTTGTAGAGATCTGAGAAGAACATACAAAAGACACACCAGAGAGTTCTTACATATAGCATCACTAATATCATCGATCATCTTGGGCCGAAGACACCAGGTTATTAAAGTCGCAATGACCGAGGTCGACTATATTCTTGTGTAGCTATCAACCTGATAGTCTGATCTTCAAACCCACGCATCTGAACATAGGTGAAAGGAAAGCATTACTTGGCAAATTAAATGATTTTAATGCAGACAGCTAGGCGATTCTTGTAGAGGAGTGTTGTGTGGCTGGTGTTCTTATCGCCACGGGACTGGGGCTAATCGGCAACATCCAGATCGGCCACCTGCGCCAGACGACATCCCACTCGTAATCGCTGCTATCTCGCACAAGCATCTCGTTTTTTCCCAATTCCAGCAATTGTGATCTCTTTTATTGAAGATCCAACAACGATGGCAGACGAATCACCAGCACAGCGAGCTGCCCGAGTGCGCCGCGAGCGCCGCGAGGCAAAGATCAAGGAAGGAGGCTCAGCGCGCCTGGACAAAATTACCAGTCTCAGTGGACGCACGCCACAAATTGGTACGAAATGAAATTCACATCCCTGGATCTAGCCAAGGAGCTCCCGATAGCAAAGCAGACATGCTAGATCATCAGCCACGCCGGTACAGACAAAGCTAACTAAAGTCAACTACAATAGACCGCAAAGAAGCCTCCCCATCCCCTCAACCTCAGCGTGCAATTTCCGCATCCCCTTCTCCAGGACCGCAAAACCCCCAGTTCCAACCTTCATCTTCGCCCCAACCAGACATGCAGTCACCAGAAGCGATCCGCGCCCAACAGGAAGCGTTCTTCTCAATGCTCCGACAATCCGCACCGGAACAAGGCCAGGGCCTACATCCCGATCCGCAAGCGCCAAATAACCTTCAGGCCCAACAAGAAGCATTCCGCGCGATGCTGAGACAAGCTGGGCAGGACCAAGGACAAGGCCAGCCGCCCAGTGACTCCGAAGACCCCACCATCAAACTCCTGAGCTCTCTCATGGGTGCTATACCCGGCGGTGATCCCAATGCGCCACTAGGAGCAACCCCAGGCGCAGCCGGAAACCAAGCGGCACCCGGATTCTCGCTCGCTGCTATTGCGTCGATGCTTGGCGTGCCGCCTTTCATCGCTAATATGCTGGGTGGAGCGACGCCGCCAACAGAGGAGGAGAAGAAGCGCGCTCGGATTTGGAAGACGATGCACATTGTGTTTGCTTTGTCGGTTGCTGTTTACCTGCTGTTCATTATTGGATCTTCGGTCGCGTTGTTCGGTAGTCCACCGCCAAAGCCTGCGACGGCTCAGAATCCCTTTGCGATCTTTGTGACGGGAGAGTTGCTGTTGACTGGTAGTAAGGTGGTGCTCGGTGGGAAGTCTGGGGGCATGGGAATGGCGGTGCAGTTTTTCAAAGATGTCGTGAGAGATGGTAGCCTTCTGTTGTTTATGTTGGGCATGGGAACTTGGTACAATCGCGAATGGCAGACTACGGCATAATGGGATAGATTGAGTATGTAGCTTAGTTAACGACCAGCGCGGTATGAGCATTTCATGGCATATATATATGATCATTATTTCATTATTCGTATACAACTTTTGATCAACGCTAAACAGACATGTTTACGCCGGCCCGCTGAGATGGTGGGACTGCGTTGCGTAAAATACTTAAGGCAGATGCATCCAGACCCCAATCACCTTCCCATTGATCCATACGAGACCCTTTCTTGAAATGAGCTGCCAGGTGCTCCGCCCGAGCTGACCAGGTGGACAGTGAACATCCACAGAAACCACAGCGGCTTTCGACGTTGGTACCCGATCCGCGCCAGGATTCGAGGTCAGCCACGGGGGCTTTCGTACAACTGTGGAATTTGCGCAGATGCTGCCATAGATAATCCTTTCGACTGAATGATCGCTCTTGGGCAGGCTTATCGGCACACACTTGGAATTCATGCTCTTCCCAATGGGCGGGCGTTGGGGAAAGAACATCGCAGAAGGAGCATTCAGAAGACTGGAGTTCAAACGCTTGTTGGACGCTGTTGAGATTTGGAGTGCAAAGCCAGGAGTCCAGGGTAAGATGAACGCTTTTCTCGTGGCGGGCCCAGTCGTGTTTCTTCTTGAAGGACTGCGAACAGAATGTGCACTGGTAATTATAGTCTACTGTTGCTCGCTGCCGTCCTCGGATGCGCTTGGGTTTAGTTTGTTTTGGGAGCAGTGGGAATGGTAGCCCCGCGTCTGCCGAGGAATGGTAGCTCCACGCTGAAGAGGTGCTATCAGATGTCTCAGACAACTTGCTTCCAATGCTCGATACAGAGGACGCCAAATGGGACGAACTTTCGGCGAAATTGAAGAAATCCATCATAGACCCATCGAGCTGGGACGGGTCAAGGCTGTCGTCCGACTGCATCGAGCCAGAGGCAATGGCATGTTGAATGGCCAGTTCTGGAACAGGTTCGTCTTCTGGTGGGGAAGCCTGCCATCGTTCCATGGGAGTCAGGGAAGACAACGTGCTGGTGACCATGGGGGAGCCTGAGCGCATACGGGATGTGGAAGAAAGCCCCGCAGCCTGGATCTTTTGCTTTTGACGGCGGCGGGCGTTTGCAAACCAGGTTGATATGCGCTTTGGGGAGAAGCCAGTCTCGTGGGCCATCTGGTTCTTCTGTGCATCTGTTGGATAAGGATATTCTTGATTTTGATAGAACCACTCGCGAAGAACTCTAGCTCCTTTTCTGAGGAACTGTTTAGGTTCTTTTCGTTCATCGCCATTGTCCACAGTGGTAGCGGGTAACGGGTTTCCATCTTCCGGCACACCGTGGAGATGGCCTAAGACCGGCGAGAAAGTTTCAAAGCCCGACGGGAGGCGTTTCTCTCCCTTTGCTAAGCTGCATTCCCGAAAAAGGGCTACGCAGCTTGAGCAGGAATTTTTGGGATTTGGATTGGCGGGCCCAGTGCGAATTATCAGACATTGCAGCCGATGCCTGCGACAATGGGCACATGATACAGGAGGACGATATGCCCCATCAAGCCACTGTGAGACATTGGCGAGACTTGGTTGGGACAGGGATGGGTCAACATATTCTGCTGCTAAAGGCGGAGCAGTATCATATAGATTTTCTGAAACCTTTAGTTCTTCATGATCTTGATGTCCAGGTTGTGCATCAGCGGTTGGTATGAGGTGTGACTCAGAATTTGTCCACTGCGACCATTCCAGATAACTGATGTCTAAAGGAAATGGTTGGAATTCGTAGCCAGTATTAGTATCAAAATGAGGGTCCTCTTGCATCCATTGGTTCGGCTCATTTGCATCCAGCATGCCCTCCAGCTCTATGTCCAATAGAGGCTGTGGCAATGGCCATGACAAAGGGTTGATGGGTGGTGGCTGTGGAGTCATGCCATATAGCGTTGAACAAAGTCACCGACGCGGTATATACTGAGCCCTTTCTTGTATATCGGGAATATAGTCTAAACTCGACGAGTAGCTTGGCCAGACCCCGTCGCATTCCTCGCCGTTAACTTGCCGATATCGATGGGGTGAGTCTGCGCTAATCCATATTGGGCCAGCGGACGTTCCTCGCCCCACTAGTCCACGAACGGCAGGTACAGGATGTATTACTAATCTTACACTGCCCCCCGGGGGCCCGCGGACCATCTCGGGAGCCATCTGCAATAAGCCTATGGCCTCCGGCCTCAATGTTCGCCCCTTCTCCAAAGTCTCGTTCAGATTCCTCGGTATCGGTTGCTGCAAAATTCTCGGAGTGCCAGATTATGCACGAGGCTGTAGTCCAAAGTTCCCGACGTCCGATCTAGGGTCGAAATCCCTGGTTGTACTTAAAAAAATTCATCTGCATGGTTTATGCTTTCTACTACCTTTTTAACCTTTCTAAATAACAATCGAGAAGGGAGAAAATGTCCGAAAAAAAGATGACCAAAAAGACTATACAAAACAAACTACAAAACAAACATGGCAAGGCCGCGCGGCTCTTGTCATATTTACACGATACTCCAACTAGACAGCCCTAAAAAAGGTGACAGGCCATGCTTGAATGGCAATAAGATCAATATCCTGGTTTGAGATAGAGCCTATATGTTCCTACCAGCCCCCATCATTCCATGTTGTATGAATATCAATTTGAGCCACGTTGCTTATCATAATTAAGCTTATATTATCTTGTTACACCAAAAGAACAAAGCTCGGTCCATGTCGCACTGGAACTATCACCGATTAGGCAGGATACTACTCCGTAATGTCTTGAAACCTATAATCTGGGGATAATTAGGCGAATTGGAAGAGGCGTAGAGGTGTACGGAGTAGTAGCAACGGCAATAGAGGATGATATTAGACCCGGGGTAGATAACTTCGAATCCACAGGTCCGGAGTTTGCTCTACACTCCGGAGTCCGGGTGGGGCATTTGTTTTGCCACTCGCGGCTCGGCGAGAATGTAAAATCGTTAGCCGATGAACGGGATCCCGGTGAAGGATCTGATCTCGGCCCCAAAAAGGTTATTTTATATAAAGATAAAAGCCACAATAGAGACTGGGCGATATACCAAGAGTACTCCGTACACAATTGTTTTGGCAAAGTTCAACAAATAATATAAATCTTAAAACGGGAACTGGCGATCGCTTGTGCCAAACGATCAGGCACCTGGGTGGACCTGGGGTGGGGACGATATTAATTTTTACTGTACGACCAATTTTTTACCAATTGGAATGAGTCAGCATGGTTAACCCAGAACTGGTATTGGTCAGCCACTGGTCAAGGTCTCCGGATTCGGGTCGAACTAGAACGGCCATTGGTGAGTCCGTCAGGTTGCATCGAATTTCTGTGGAACCTTCCATTTACTCCCATGGGGCAAATTTATCCAAGGCACGCGAGAAAACGGGGAAACAATAAGACGGCAAGATCGCCCTTCTTCCTCGTGGGAAAATTGTCTTTCGTTTCAACACTCGACTCCTCTGCTTTTTCAACTACACAGAATGGACGTCAATTCAACACCACCTGCCTATGAGCAGGATAAGATCGCTGAGCGCAAGGATCTGCCTCAATTCGAAGAGGAGGGCCAGCTCAAGGCTGGTGAGGTCCACGATGCTTTTGGCAACGAGGAGTACGCTGAGATCAAGTATAAAACCTTGAAGTGGTGGTATGTATCATTCGACGGAGTCTCTCATCGACCATGCTAACGCGTGGTGTCTTCAGGCAATGTGGCTTGCTCATGATCTGTGAGTCAGTCTCACTGGGTGTGCTGTCGCTACCCTCAGCCGTCGCTACTCTCGGTCTCGTCCCTGGTGTCATCCTGATTGTCGGCCTCGGCATTCTCGCAACATACACTGGCTACAACATTGGCCTCTTCCGCGAACGGTACCCTCACATTCAAAACCTGGGCGATGCCGGCGAGATCTTGCTGGGCAAGTTCGGCCGTGAGCTCTTCGGTACTGGCCAGTTTCTTTTCTGTATCTTCGTCATGGGTAGTCACATCTTGACCTTCCGTGTCATGATGAACACTCTCACCAACCACGGCACCTGCTCCATTGTGTTCAGTGTCATCGGTATGGTTATCTCGATTGCTCTGTCCATCCCCCGTACGATGAAGGGTATGACTTGGATATCATTTGCATCATTCCTCAGCATCCTATGCGCGGTCGTGATCACCATGGTTTCCGTGGGAGTCCAAAGTCACACCGAGCGTATCATCCACGCCACCGTCGACACCAACCTGTACACTGCATTCCAGGCTGTTTCCAACATCGTCTTCGCTTACTGCGCCCATGTCGCTTTCTTCGGTTTGATTGCCGAGATGGAGTCGCCCCAGGATTTCAAAAAGTCCCTGTTCATGCTCCAGGGCTTTGAGATCTCCCTCTACCTGACCGCCGCCGTTGTGATTTACTTCTACATTGGCACAGATGTGCACTCCCCTGCCCTTACCTCCGCCGGGCCCCTGATGAGCAAGATTGCCTACGGCATTGCTATCCCTACCATTGTCGGTGCCGGTGTCGTCAACGGCCACATCGGCTTGAAGTACATCTACTTCCGCCTTTGCTCCAAGTCCGATCTGATGCACCAGCGCAACAAGCGCTCCGTCAGTCTCTGGATTGGTCTTGGTGTAGCTTGCTGGGTCGTTGCGTGGATCATCTCCGAGGCTATTCCTGTCTTCAGTGACCTAAACAGTTTGATCAGTGCTCTTTTCGCTTCCTGGTTCAGCTATGGTCTTTCCGGTATCTACTGGCTCCACCTCAACCGTGGCGAGTGGCTCGCCTCTCCCCGCAAGATTTTCCTTAGCATCCTCAACATCGCCATTGCCTGCTTCGGTTTGGCGCTGTGCGTTCTTGGGCTGTATGCTTCTGGCACAGCTATCAGCAAGAATTCCAACAGCAACAGCTTCAGCTGCGCCAACACCGATACTTAGATGGCTCCATCTCGCTTCATTTTGCTTTATCTTGCTTCATTTTATTAACGTCACACGCACTGTACATATACCGCATATAGACTATGCTAAGAGCGCACTGGTTGACTCTAGAATATAAATAATATATTACAATACCTTAAACACGCTTGCCTGTCCTAATTGTACGTACCTAGACTACACCTAGACTGCGCCCTTAAGACTAAGAAAGGCAAACCTGGCCTCTCAAAAGTCGTATATACACCTGATACCTACAGACATGGAAGTCTTTCATCGGCAACTGGGCTAACCCTCCCCTACTTCTTCTCCCCCTCACATCCATCTCAATTTAGCAACCGTGCCCTCATCTGGTACTATTCGTCATTCTAGAATGGCCCCTCAAAATGAAAAGGCTAATCTGCCTCGAGTGGCTGAATCGAACTTGGCTTGAAAGTCCCTCAGGTCGCTTCCCCATTGAAAACCTCCCAGTTGAGATCCGACATCATATTCTTTCGATGGTGGAAATTGACAGCCTCAAGACCCTGGCGCAAGCCTTTTCCGTTTACTTCCACCAATACCAACTAGATCGCAAGTTTCTGTTCTGTCAACCCAGGAGTCAACACTGGGTAGCACGAAGCTGATGCCTATACAACCCAGGCAAGCTTGGAACGCACTACAAAAAGCATCAATGATTTTCTCGTCTCCTACCATGTGATAAAGTCTCAATCCTGGTCTTCACCTCTCCAGAAAGTATTCAGCATGGAAGACGCCGTGTCCATTACCAAAGTTAACTGCTCGATTGTTCAACCCCGGATGGGACGCTTTGTGACACAAGCATTGGATGATCTCACCAAGAAACCAAAAGGGTCCCAGATTGAAGAGACTTTGAGAAGGGCAGAAGAGGTATTCTACGTTGGTTACCTCGTCAGTAGAAAGCACGAGCAGATCTTCCACATAATTAGAGGGATGTGGACGAAGAGAACCCCAGATTTGATCGATGGCGTGGAGTAGCATTTGATATTAACAATCTCAGTGAGTAACAGTTCGTTTGTTTTGACGTTTCCAATTCGAGAGATACTAATTTTGGCATTGAGCTAACAGATAACAGTGATAGGTTGTGGAACATCAACATCTCCCGGCCTCGAGCTGCTGCGCTTTGTCCGTTTCAAGATCAAGCATGAGGATACTCGCCGCGCCATTGACACACGCTTAAAATGGCTTCGACACTGCCTTCAACCTGGGGAACGGGACCATCGACATGGGCGCCGTGAGCCGGCCACCTTCCATGGCAACAAGTAACCCAATCCCAATGGAGTTCGTGTGCTCCTGCTTCCACCACAAGCCTGGGCGATCGTATGTGGGCTCGGGGCGGATGTAACTTGCAGCAACATCTTTGGGGAGTACATGCCAGACGCTCTCCGCCAATGGGGATGGGTAACGTGGGATGCGGCCCGTTTAGAATGCATGGGTTTCAAGGACGTGAAGATATAGTAATGGGAGCATCATTACCGGGATGACCATAGGAAGGATTACTGGTACTAAGCAGCATAAGCACTCTCTATGATGCGAGTCCACAATTAGTTGTTCGAAATCATCAACTAAGACACAGATGTCCTCAAATTTCTTACGCGAGACCCAAAGCCGGATTGCAAAGATGAACTTATCCCCTTAATCCACGTAGTAAAAAAGGATGGCTAGGAGTGATGAGCTGTCATATAAATGATACCCACCAACAGTCCAAGTGCCTTAAGTCCCCCAAACAATTGTGGTTTGTTATCTATAACTAACTAATACCTTTCGATTTTGGCAGACACCAATCAACCACCCATGGACACATGCTGAGTTGAATTGTTTAAGATGCCTCCAAGACATTCCGAGCTACCATCGCCATTTCTATATCGGAACGAATAAATTAGAAAAACTATTATAATGTTTGGACAATGTGCTCTTGTTGATGGTTAATTTGGTTTATTTGCGCCCAGGTGCCTCCAGACTACATATCGACATTATGGATTTCCAATAGAAAGATGATAGTCTCTGCGATGCATTATAATTACCACAATGTGTCATTCACAATATATACAATCCCAAAAAAAATCAAAACTCCCCAGCTAGTTCATTGATCAATGGCGCCATCTCCATCAGTATGTAACAGTCACGTTCTTGTTCACATACTTCGGGTTCAGCTTCAAGACAAGGTTCTCAGCAAGCCACTTCCCTGCATCCTCTCTGGAGATAGTATAGCCAATAGCCATACACTCCGGACCGGTCTTGGGATCCTCGATGCCCACGCGGATAGGGATTTTGTTCTTCGACTCGCCATCAACAAGGTGGCTAGCACGGAAGATTGTGAATGATTCCCCGCTCTGCGAGATACGGTCTTCCATGACTACCTTGTCTGCACCGGGGACACTGACAAACAGGTAATAGACAGGCTTCATAACGAGAGGAACATCACGGACGAAGCGGGAGAAGCCCGCCGTGCTGGTGGCGATTATGTGTGGCTTTCCGGTGATGCCGGTGCTGCGAAGCTGGTCGAGGGCATCTAGCATAGTTGCTGCGCCTTTCTTGCAGACGTCGGGATCCTCGACGCTGAATCCGGTTGGCTTAGCGCCGATTGTGGACACGATAGTATCGACGATGCGGCCATCGTCGGTTTGGAGGCACTGCAATACGGGCAAGATGTCGTGTGCATTTCCTTGGATGATTTTCAGATTTGGTTGGGACCCGGAAGGGAAGATGGCTGTGAGTTTTGAGGGATTACGGCAAAGGGCGATGCATTTGTGTCCGGCAGCGAGAGTGTGTTTAAGGGCAGCAAGACCGATGCCGGTGCTGGCCCCAAAGAATGCGACAGTTTTGGTGTTTGAAGTCATGGTGTAGATGGGCTGTGGCTGTGGCTGTGGCTGTCAGGTAGCGATGTATTGATAGTAGAGATGTTGCTTCTTTTAAGTGTCTTGGATGGGATGATGGGCTTTTAATATACATTTTGGCTAACAGCGTGTGACCGAGAAAGCGAAAGCTATCCGAGCCAATATAGAAGGTCTCGCTCTTTTTTCGCGACACAGCTCAGAATGAGGGGGAAGAACACGAGCCTAACCAGCTGAGGCGGAAATGCCGTTCTCTCGTTGGTTGTTGCTCATTCTACGCTTATTCTACGCTTATGCCTATCCCTGAGTCAGACGGCAAACTCTTCCAGGCCCATCTGCTTGATGTGGAATAATCAAGGTTTTTGCCTGACCTATTTTTGATTGATCACTCGCTGAAACAAGCTTATAACGGTCCCAAGATGACACAAGAGCGCCCTGCCACAGGCTCAGGGGCGCATGGGGGGCTCGCGTCGGGCTCGGACGCCGAGAAAAACGCGAGAATCGACGCCTCAGGCAGAAACACAACATCCCCAAAGCCGCGCAGCTGTGTAGTATGCCGAAGCCGGAAAGTCCGCTGCGACAAGCGAGCGCCTTGCTCTAATTGCCGACGCGCAAATATCGCATGTGTGCTTCCACCGACAGATCGACCACCAAGATGGGCTCGCCATCTCGACCGCCTCAACAACGCGGTATCCAAACTACAGGCCTCCCAGGAACCTGAACCAGTAGCGGAAGACCTGATGGAGAAACTTCACAACCTTGAAGGACTTGTTCAAGAGCTACGCATGCAATTGCAACAGGCCAAATCGGTAGCTAACTCTGCCGCTGAAGGGTCATCCGGAGTCGGTTCGCCTGAAAGCTCCGCGCATGATCGACAGTCGAATCCATCTTCCATTAGTACTACCAATTTGCAAAATAAGTTTGGGAGACTGGTGCTTCAGGATTCCAGCCGAAGCCGCTATGTTAGCAGTGGTTTTTGGTCTCGGGTCAATGACGAAGTATGCTGCCTTGGGTTGTTTACATTGCTGCACGGAATGAATGGCTAGCTGACTTCTGTTGTAGCTTGATGGCCTCAGGGCCGACGTTAGTGGTCTTCCACTTGGAGAATCCGATACCTCGGCCGATGAGGCATCGCCAGAGATGACCCCTTTCACACAAGAGCTTGAACGGACCCCCTCAGAGCGTCACGGATTCTTATTTGGGCACAATTTGGGTCGTTTTTCTTCTAACCTAACCGAACTTCATCCGCTACCCTCTCAGATTCCATTTATTCTAGACGTGTTCTCCGAAAACGTGAATGTCATCTTTCAAATCGTGCATCTCCCCACTGTTAAGAACATGGTTCGCGATTGGCGCGGCCGTGACATGAAGGGACTCACACCGGCCAATGAAGCTTTGATGTTCTCTATCTACTACGCTGCCATTACTTCGATGGAAGAAGAAGATGTAAGCCAAATCCTTGGACGTTCAATCTTCTGACGGATCTAAGCATGGTCCTAAGCTTACGTCGCGGTACATTTAGATAATGCTGAATTTCGGAGCAAGCAAAGCCGAGCTCAATCTCAAATATCGTCATGGCCTCGAACATGCTCTTGCAAGAGCCGATTTTTTGAATGTACCAGACTTCGTTCTCGTGCAGGCATTTGCGATCTTTCTTAGTCTTTCCCGCCGACATGATAGTCCGAGGTTTGTGTGGATGATGACAGGACTGTTAATCCGAATGGGTCAAGCTCTGGGGCTACATCGTGATGGAACACATTTCGATTATCTCAGCCCATATGAGATTGAGATGCGGCGAAGGGTCTGGTGGGTCATGTGCATGTTGGATGCGAGAGCATCCGAGGACCAAGGAACCGATTACACAATCACAAGAGCGTGCTTCGATACTAAATTACCTCTCAATCTCAATGATGCGGACCTCGACCCTGAATCAAAGCAAACGCCTCAAGCTCACGTTGGTCTGACTGATATGTCCATTGCGCGTGTCTCCATGTGCATGTGTGAGACCACGCGGAAGATGTTGGTTCATGATTTCAAAGACGGAACACCGACTATAGAAGAGCAAAGTAGCTTGTTGCAACAGCTATGGCAAGTTTTTCAACGAGACTTTCTTCAATACTCAACCGAATCAGGGAACATTACACACTGGGTGATAGTTAGAGTCGTTCGGCTTGTCATGGCCAAGATGACTTTGCTTATGTACCTGCCTCTGTTGTTCTCCTCCCCGAATGAAGACTTCTCAGAGGAGCTGAGGACAAAACTATTGGTCGCCAGTATCGAGGTCGCCGAGTACAACCATGCTCTAAGCAGTGAGCAAGCATGTAGGCACTGGCGCTGGGTTTTCCAGACCTACACCCATTGGTACTCGATTGTCTACATGATGCTAGAGATCTCTCGACGCCCGTGGTCGCCTCTTTCTGAACGGGCCTGGGTAGCTCTTCATAGCCCCTGGTTAATACCGAACCAATCACACATGGAGAGGAATCTACGAGTATGGATTCCACTCCGAAAGCTCATGATCAAAGCCAGAGATTATCGTGTTATGGAGTTCAGCCGGCTGAGAAATGACTCTCAAGCTGCCCAACAGCTGGAGCAGACTTATTGCATTGCGCCAGTGCCGTCCAGCACTGGGCCATTTCCATCTGGTTCAGATTCTGTAGACCTCTTCCTTCGCCAATGGCGCCAGCTGGTGGCATACCCAGATAGAACAAAACACGACACCATCGCACACGGGCTTACCATCACCAATTCGTCGAATCCACCGATGCAAATTGCAAATACAATGCAGTCAAGTGCGCATCTTGTTCCCAATTCATCCCACACACCATTCTACTCAGATTTCACTGCTGAGCCAGGCTATGTTGCTGCAGGGGAACGGCAATCCGGATACGATATGTCAAGCATTGAATCTATAAACTTTGGTTCAGCCATGGTCCATAATTCAGGAATCGGATTTGATCCAGACCCTGCCGCATCATCACACTTCTCAATGGCACCGGGAGCCCAATTAGACGATCAACTTGTCATACCAGCCGTCGTACCTTGGCTATGGTCTGAAGAGGCAATGTCAGCTAATTCCACTGGCACTGAAGACCAAGCCGATAACAGCATGGGCATGGACGAGGAGGTGAATTGGTACAATTGGGCCGCGTCTGCGAAGGATCTCGAGTGCGACAGGGGAAACTATAACACTGTACCATGCTAGTCTACCGCTGCCTTGTCATCACTCGTCATGTTCCCAATGATAACGGGCCTTGTCGAGATTCTTGCAGCATCTCATGAACAAGATAGCATCAGGCGCTGTCTGTGAACCTGAGACCTATCTAGAATGCCCCAATACCAAGAAGAGCAATGAGGATAGCTCCTTGCGTGAAGAATATCTTGCCAGGCGGGTGTCCGTTATGGACTATCTAGATACTGTGTGTGCGCCTTCTAATGGATATCTGTTACACGCCATGTCGGCAAGTGTGGTACACGTTCTTTCCCGGCCAGACAGAAGTCTTGACACACGAGGCTCACACAACCCTATATTCACTCATGGGGGGAAGCTGGTAGACTGCCGTATAGAAAGGTTCCTGATGGTGAACGAGAATTTGAGATTGATCTACACTTACTGCGAAAGTCATCCTGTGTCTAGTGCCACTCACGGATTGGATGTCAGCTCCTGAACAAACAAGCCACAATCTGAAGGGACTCACCGTGCACTGTGATAGTACGGTTGTGAAAGCAATCGATTGCTCTTCATGGGTTGTGGGCATTTGGAACGAGGAAATGAGGCTTGTATCTTTTGTTTTTTTCGCTCACTATATTTCGACTTGATTTCTATAGGTATATTCTAATTGTTGGCCACATCATCATCATTGCAAAATGGACCTAAGCAGACACGGAAAGCAAGCAGCAAGGAAAACACCAAGTATCAAAACTCGAAACCAAAAGAGATTCACAACAATGTAAGAAATATCACGCCCCGACTCGAGCAGTCTGTAGTGGAGCATGCAACTCCAGCGTGCTGCCAATAGGAGAGTCTGACCAGGGTGCGTGGGCATTCGGAGTTTTGTCCACTGGTCCACCCAAGGCATGAAGCACCTGCTCTTTAGTGGCATCACCAAGCCCAGCAGACTTCAGCGTCCTTCCGTGCTCAAAGTAGTCAAAGCCACTGACAACGGCGGCCATCTCGATAAGTGCCCTGATAGTTGGCGAAGCCAAACCGCATTTCAGACCGAGCTCATACCAGGGGACCAAGCCGTAGAGAACATCCTCCAACAAATACCGATGGTTCAGGGAGGTTGGGGAACTCTTGGTCTTGTTGTGGACCACAGAACCTGAGGCAAAGTCGTGGTAGTCGGAGTATTCCCGGTCGTTGTTGTAATTCTGGTTCATGTACTCGGTGATAGGTGTAATCTCGAGGCCATAGGCGTGTGAAATTGCCAGACGTTCCTTGTCCACCTTTTCAGTCACACGGGAGACAGAGGGCGACATTCCCTGGGCGTAGAAGTAAAAGTCGCCCTTGGTAGCCTCGATCCAGCCTGCATTCATGAGTGCCGCAGGGCAATGCACGACTGGGTTGACGTTGTTCAATCCAACCTCGAGCAGATTCTGACACCATACTAGCTTCTGAGAAAAGATCATTTCGACCTTCTGTCGGAGGCCAAGCTCGGCTTGGGGGTCAAGTCGCTCGACCTGTGTGGTGTTTGGTGGCTCGGCCCATATTGACAGAGACTTCTTGCAACCCTTGACAAATACGGTGTCCCCTTGGATGCGAGTGGCATAAGGGGAGATGTCGGTTTCGAGGATTGCATGGGCGTTGATCTTCGAGCGGGCGGAGAGGTAGAAGAAATTTCCCACGTTGATGATGAGGGTATGGCTTCGCAAATCAAATTGACTCAGCAATGTTAAGATGGTGTCTTGGCCATATGAGGGTACTGTAGTTACGATGAAAGGAGAGTGTCGAATGGCAATGTAGAGGTCGCTGGTGGTCTTGATTTGGAATTTTCCACTGATCTCTCCGGCGGCGTTCAACCATCCATTGTTCTTTTCAATCATCTCTGTCCCGCCGCGGTGATCGGGATGAGCGTATAGCATGACTGACTTCCCACGGCTGGCCAAGTCGGCCGCAAATGCACAGCCACAGGGTCCTGCGCCGATGATGGTGACTGTTGGCACGGAGTCGATGTTTTCAGCAGTCATGATGCTGGTCTGAACTTTCTGCTGAGGGTCTTGTTCGTATTGGGCTCAGAGTAAAGGAAGGTTTTTAAGAGTGTATCCAGAAATCTCCAGTGTATCTGATTGATGAATTGATTCGAGGTAGTATGCCTATTTAAATATTGCTGGCCCCAGGGGTCAATAGATCTGCACAAATTATACGTTGTATGGTACATTTGGCTCTCCCAAGAAGGCAAGGTTCCCCTGGGTAGTTGTTTTCCGACTCAGACCATACAGTGTAGGCTGTATATTGCACATCACGTACCCGGCGATCATCCAAATGGACTATCTTCAGCTTGCGTCATGTCAACGTACTGGTGCATGATCTTGACAAGGACCATGTGGAAAATCCACAGGGTGATGTGATCTTATGATCTACTGCCCTATGCTGTTCCGTACAATATAACTGGTTAGAATGGACTAGTGTGGACTTTCGCCGGCATCTTGAGAAATTTGAGTTGGCACAAGCCTTCCACTCAGGGGTTTTATTGGCTATATACTGTGAATTCATTACATACTGGAATCTGCAGATCACCACGAAATTGAGTCTAGAAAAAGGATAGTCATCACGATTGACGATCAGAGATGCGCGTTTTTGGTTCATCGTCTGCACCCCAGTTTCACATTTGTATTGGGCTGTAGTGTCTGCCAGGGAGTCCAATTAGATCTCCTGCTTCTGAGCATGAAATAGGCCAACTAACTAAATGTGCTGTTTCATGGGAAGAAAAAAAAAGGACCCCCGTTTGTGTTAAGACTGCGGAGAAGGCCGCCTGTCTTGACCTGTTGGAAGGGTAGCCCATAGATGTTGTTAGCGCTGCCACAAATTCCGAACCCATGACAACGCCCTGACTCGAACAAAGGAGATTACACGCGTGGTGTGCCCTTCCAACCAGCGGGGCACTTGTTGAAAGTACCAGGCCAATACCGTTGAGCCAACGGGGCTTGGGGGTATGAGACCTGTCTTTGTTCTTTATGATAACAGTGCTTTTTGCTGTTTCTGAGGTGATCATAAAGTTATTCCGAGTCCTGTGGCTTTCGTACTATTTCCTGAAGCTATTCCTCGGGCCATCAAGCTTCCGAGCACGTGGGACTGGAGTAGATCAAAAGTGGACCAAGTGGGGATATCCCGATCAATCAGATAACAAAAAGCCATGTGAGTTTGCCAAGATTCCATACCCTGCAGATCTCCCTCCAGGGGGTCCTCGAATATCTTCTAGGGGATCATGTTGCCTCCCGGCCCGAATACCGCGCAATATTGTTTTGTCCCCGAAACGACTTCCGGGTAATGATGGGCGCTTCGGATACTTTTTGAGAAGTCGATCATTTTGTTCGAGACTTTGAATCACATCATCCAACTATTTTCGACTTTCACAGTGGGACTCTTCTCCTAATTTGACGTCACCGTATGCTGTGACCTTTTCGATGTTGCCTGGATTGACAATGAGTTGTCCATTGCGAACAGTGGAAAAGGGGACGACAACCTCGTGATTGTCAAACAATACATATTTAGTCTGTTTGGTTTCTATACATGTCATATACATGTCCCGATCACTCGAGCAGCAATGAATTCTGAAACCACGCTTGCAGAGACTGTGCCACCACCGTACAGCTCCTTTAGCACCGCCAAAAAAAGATACATTGTTGCTACAGCCGCAGGGGCTGGTCTATTTTCTTCCTTGTCGGCCCAGATCTATTTCCCAGCCCTGAACACGTTGGCCAGCGACCTCAATGTCTCAGCATCCCTGATAAACCTGACTGTGACAAGTTACATGGTAAGGATACACCAGTTGACGAAGATAAAGCACAAGTTAACGGATGACATATAATAGATCTTCCAAGGAATTGCGCCCATGTTCATCGGCGACTTTGCGGACAGAACAGGTCGTCGACCAGCATATATCATCTGTTTTATTATTTATATCGCGTCAAACATCGGACTAGCTTTGCAGGACAGCTACACTGCTCTCATTATATTGCGATGCTTGCAGAGTTCCGGGATCAGCAGTAGCGTGGCGCTCTCTGCAGCTACCGTGGCCGATATTAGCACGAAACAGGAACGAGGATCGATGATGGGCTTTGTGATGGCTGGGAATTTCATGGGCCCTGCCATTGGTCCGATCATTGGAGGTCTGCTAGCCCAATATCTGGGCTGGCGCTCGATCTTCTGGTTCCTCACCATCGCCTCTGGCGTATTCTTATTGCCTCTCCTCCTCTTTCTGCCAGAAACGGCCCGAAACGTCGTTGGTGACGGCTCATCTCCTGCACAGCTGTGGAATCGGCCCTTGATTCACTTGTTCTCTCGTCATAATTGGGATAAGCAGTATCCTTCCGACAAGGATAGTCTTGACCGATCTGACAACAGCGACTCGCCAAAGAAAGTCATCGAGCATAAACTCAAATTCCCCAACCCGCTGAAACCTTTGATACTTGTGTTCCATCCGAACTCAATCATCATTCTCTTGGTAACGGGAATTATCATGGGTGGAAACATGACTGTTCTCTCATCTATCACGGAGATATACACAGCGCAGTACGGTCTAGACGAGCTTGAGATTGGTCTATGTTATATCTCGCTCGGCACTGGGTCTATCGTGGCCTCGGTTGTGACAGGGCGCCTGCTGGACTGGAACTACCGACGCATGGCTGCCAACAGAGCCGCTGATCTTACTACCCCCGAACAAGACAAAACCGAGGATTCGATCCCTGTCGAGAAGGCCCGTAGTATGATTACTATTCCTCTCGTTGTTCTCGGCAGTGTCACCGTGCTAGCGTTTGGCTGGGTTTTAAAGTATGGAGCGCCTCTTGCTGCTCCGGAGGTGCTTCTATTCTTCGTTGGCGTAGGGCAGACTGGTGGTTTTATCTCAACCTCTACCCTGCTGGTCGATCTACACACCGCTAATCCGGCTGCTGCTACCGCTGCGAACAATTTGGTGCGGTCTTTCTTCTCGGCTGCAGCCTCGGCTGCCATCGATCCTATGCTGACTGCAATGGGTCGGGGGTGGACATTCACGTTGGTGGCATTCATATTGCTAGCAACAATCCCATTCTTGTTGTTGCTATGCGGGATGGGGCGTCAAAAGAAGGACTCACCAGAGAGATCTGACGATTGAGAAACGTTAGCTTAGAAGCGCTCCACATAGTTGAAATCAACTACTTTGATTGATGCTAAATTATTGCTCTGTGTATGATGGCCCAGGGCATATCGTAACAGTCTCCCGCTGTATCGCAATACCTGAAAGCATTCACCCTTCCAATCCTTAAAGTCAAATACAGATGGCCGTCAGATCGTTCGCCATTTGGCAAAGTGATACACGGCGAGAGCCAGATGGCCGCAGCGTTGATGGATACTCAGAAGAAACTGGCATACAGCATAAACGACATCTTCGCTATCGTCGAGGTAAATCCTTGATTTCGAGACCGAGGCAAATGTAATTCTTTGCAATGCCTACCGGCTCTGATACACTACAGGATTAAAGCACAGGGTTTAGTGGGTACCAATATGCAAGTGAAATCCACCAGATCTTTTTGAAAATGAAGAAGATTGAACTGCCATTTTTCAAAGAGAAACATATAGGCAAAAGTCTTCTAACACATCCTGGACCTAGTAAATCAAGACCTCTGCAATGAGATCATTTTCCTGTGCTCAGGAGACATATTGCGATATGAAAGTGTGGCCAATATCCATCTTACAAATCCTGAAACTGCGAAGGAAGTCACAAAAGTTGAAGATTTACTCCAATACACCATCTCCAAGGCAGCGCTTCAGAGGGTAAGAGTCTCCCAAACAAGTTGTAACAACACCCTTCACCCAGGACAAGGAATTTTGTCCATAGCGATAAGTATCCTGGGTAAAAGAATCCGCCTGGAAGTGTTCGTACTGTCCACTTCCGGGCTGTCCACTGAATACGTATCCACTTCTACGATAGGTCAAGGGATTGCTAATAATAGCACCCCATCTGTTCTTCGGAATTGTCATGGTGACCGTGCCGGTGAGAGTAGCCGTTTCAGTGTACTGGTAGCTGATAGAGGTGCCGATTTGGAGGAACTTCTCCACGGTAGCTGTAAACGAGGTGCTAACTGTGATGCTGTTTGCGATGGACTGGCCTTGTGCCATGGAAGCGGTGGCATCGGCTTCGTTGGCATGCACAATGGTAGACATTGGGATATCCCAGCCGAGGAATTTCTCGTCGGGAAGAGGGATGATGAATTGGGCACCGGAGCGCTTGCTCAGACGGTTTGAGGGGGTGGAATCATTGGATCCAGTCTCTAGGAACTTGGGGACGGAATGGGTAGGCGGAGACAGAGAGACTCCAGGTAGATTGGCACCTAGGTCTTTCTTGTCGACGGTCTTTGTGGTGCCATCGTGTAGAACAAGAAGAGCTGTATCGGCTGGCAGGGCAGAAATGAGTGCACTGTTGGCACAGAGAGAAGCGAGCAACAAAATGTTGGTCTTCATCATGTGCACCAAGAAGAAATTTGGTAAAGGTCCTTTCGTACTAATCAAGAATAGATAGAAAAGTGATACCGCAAAATCGGTGACGGAAAGGAGACCCTATTTAGAGTCCTCCAGGAGATGTCTTTTGTCGAACTAGGCAAATCCATCACACGGAACTATATTACCAGAACGGATCTACCAGATCTATCCCGTATAGAAGCTCGGGATATTCACGCAATCCGTGTTTCATCTGTATGCTTCCGAGATATAGCCGGGAATATACCGCGGATAAGCCCTGACAAACTAATCAATTTAGCTTTTGTTAGAGTTCTGAAGGATGCTGTAGATCATTTACGGCCCAGGGGGAGTGCAACGGCTATGGGGCGTCGTCTCTGATAAGGACTGTGCCTTGGGGGCCAAACCCAGTTCACCCGAAGTGTTCCGCACGGAATAGTGGACACGCTCCTTACATCTCCATGAATACCTTGAAGAAAAGATCGAGTGTAAGAATACGTTTATCTTGCGAGTATGTACCCGCTTGAGATGAGGATTGGAACAATCAATCATCGAGATACCACTTAGCACCTGAAACCCTATCGAGATTCGATTTACACGTGGTCATGTTCTCTCTAAATATCGAGGCAAGTATTGCAAATAAGCTCTAAAGTACGCCGGACTGTGAAGTGAAACACACAGCCCGCCTCAAGGAACCTTGCGAGATGACGAAGTCGCCATAAAACGCCATGTATATACAATTAGGGAAATGAAGATCAAAGATCATCGTGCCGATGGAGATTCCTCGGAATTTTTGGCTTGGTTGTCTCATTTCGAGAAAGGGCATCTGTATGACCCGAATTGCTGACAGACGGGCAAGTTCACCTTATAGTCTCCTTTTTAAAGTACCACTTCTCTGACATTTGAGCATTAGATTTACGCCTACCGCCCAGTTCTCAGGAGCCAGCTTGATAATCACTTCTGATATCATCGTCACAAAGATGAAGTCCATTTCAATTATTGTTGCAGCTCTTGCTGCTGGGTAAGAGCTCCCAATTGACATGCTCGATACAGGCACTAATTCCTTATAGTGCTTTTGCAGACCTCCACACGCAGGGCGTTTGCATCGATACTCCTGGCAAAGGAGTAGTAAGTACAACCTGGAAACTTGCATCACCCGAGGAAAGCAATTCTAACTGTTTTACAGGAGGTTTACAATAGAGCTGCGACTGAAAAGGCATGTGGTGCCTATAAGAGCCGAAACACTGGGAGCAAGCAGTGGGATCAATGCCCCGATTGTACGCTTAAGAACGAGAAGGACCTGCTATACTATTGCGAGTCCCAGGGGAGTCACATCGGAGGAGATGAATTACACTATTACTGCACCCAAAATGGTGCAGGGGACAGTGTTGCTTGGTGAGGAGGCCGAGGAGAGCAGCTAGAATCGAGGAGAGATATCAGTTGGTGCACTTTGTATTTGAATCCATGCGAGGTGAATCTATAAAGCTTAGGTTGCGCCCTCGGGCTAATACTATATCCACGTAACGTCTGGTGTCCCATTGACACGGATCCAATTGCTGTGGTTAGAGACTCGTAATATAGCCCCCGCCAACATCGCTCTAAAACAGACAGATAGCCACCCTGGATTCGGACGGTCTGGCCGTGTGATGAAGACAGTCTTCATGCAGGCTATGCAGGTGGAAAGCCTCGATTTTCATTATCCATCGGAGAATCAAGTAGAAAATTGACTTCGATCCCCGACTAAATTTGAAGCTGTTGTATGTATGGTTCTTGCAATCAATCAATCGAAATTCAATTAGTCCAATCCAATCTAACTGGTTGCGTAGTGACTATACAGGCGTTTCGTTTTAACTGAAGCAATCCGTACGCGTCTTGTTTGGCATCTGCACCAAATGCGTCTCGGGGTGCGGAGGCTCACTGTTTTGCCCATCGCTGATTTGCTGCCGAACGGTCTTCTACCGTGGTAAGCCGGAGAATTAGTTGACCCGTCCCGGTCGCACTTAAGACAAAAAAAGCACGTCACGTGTTGACACGGAATGTAAATGTCGGCGCAGTTACGCCGATATACCGGAGGATTTATTAATCCTACCAATGCTGTAACTAACTAACTAATATTCTTCTGTAACTAGTTAACTAATCAGGATAGTATAAATTGCCAGAATAGTGGATACAGCAATGCAGAGAGTTGAATACCATTGGTTGGACCCATAGATTTCACAATACGGAATATTCCGACAGTAATCGGCGGCCTTCGGCCATCAACATTCTTAGACATCTCGAATATTACTGAGGCGTTGCAAAGATAAATGATACTATGGTGGTACTAGTAATCGTGGCAAGCCCACCAACACAAATATATTTAATCTCGCAATTTGTTATCCTGTGTAAATTTGCTATCCGGTGGTCACGGGGCCTGTGTTGGTGGACTTGCCACAATTATCTTACGATACTTGAGAATTCTGTTTAGTTCGCAGTAATCGTGCCAAGCGCCCAATAATAGGTGCGTTGGGCGCTTGGCATGGTTAATTAAGACTTGGGATGCTCTTAACGCTAACCCTAATTCAGAATTCTTGAATTCCACTTATTGTGAACTTCTACGGAAGCGAGATTAGCGTTGAGATGCTGGATGCCATTCCAATTTAGACTGCGGTCAACTTCAACCGACATAGTCTATTTTTTCTGATTCCATTACAATTTCATATCCAACATATGAGGGGTTTCCTGTGTCTGCAGAGGAAGATGTCCATAAATATTGGATTCTTTCCCGGGATGCAAACATTAGACAATTTCATTCTTGGTACTCCGTACTGAGGCAAGGTTGCATTGCACTCATGTCTCGATTCGGAAGGACAAGCGCCACCGCAAACACGGTGGCGCTCAACAGCTTCATATTGCGCCTCATAAAAGTTATGTACTAGCTTGGCGCTCAGGTCAACATATGCCAACTTGATGGACATGCGAGTGAGCTTGTTTTAAAATTAGGGTCCAATTATCAATATAAAGAGAGTCACGTAGTTTTATACGCTGAATAAGGATTTATCACACCCCGCAATCCTTGCGAATCGGAATTCAACCCCATTCCCTGAAAACACTAGAACTCAGCCTAAAACCCGGGGGTTCTGGAAGCCGACATGCCAGGTGGCTGAGTTTACCGAGTCCCGAGGTCGAACCCTAAGGTTCCAAGGTTGATACGGGAATCTCGCTTCGAGAAAATTCTAGCGTACGATAAGGCTAAAATACGCCACAGTCCGGCCCTAATTCCTCAGGATCATGCATAATTACTTTAAATCCTTCTACTTCTGAGAAGGGATTTTGTTTTCAAGAGGCAAATTTTATTATCTGGGGTTGAAATTTGGGGTAAACCCAGTCCATGGACAATACATAAAACCTTCACTAATACTATCTAAACGCTATCTCCCTGGGGCAGATATTGGGGCTCGCGTGTCTGGGGTCACGCCGGGCCGGGTACGCCGGGCCGGTAGACTTTCAGCAGAATGTAGAACAACCATCTTCTAAGGGGCGAGACATACTGGGGTGGCGCCGAAATACCCCACAACTCTAGTCGCCGGTGAAGATATGTTTATGTAATCCCCGGTGTCGCTAGCCATGAACGCAATTTTCGGTGCCTTCTTACCGAGTAAACATAACATCATTGGCATTTTACCCCGAGGGCTTGAGCGAGTTGGGATTACAGAACGATCTCTCCACAGCCAACTAGATCGAAATATCTGGTATTAAGTTTAACCGCCAAGCAAAAACTCTGGGCCAACCGTTCTTTTCGGGCCTCCACAAGCGATTTTCGGTACCTTTTCTTCTCGCCCTGGACTTTTTCTTCTCTTCACTTCTCCATATATACTATTCAACATGAGTCTTCAAGAGACACCTCGTCCTACTCAGGACCAAGTATACAATGATTCAACCGATATGGAGAAGAAGGCCTACCCGGTCGAGCCCACAGACGATCCCTTTGGAAATGAAGAATCTGGGGAAGTCAAGTATCGTATCATGCCATGGTGGTGAGTATCTCATTCTGTTTACTGTTTTTATGGCATCAAAGAGCACAGTTCTGACTTTTATACAGGCAAGCTGGAATGCGTGAGAGCCCATCATTGACCCCTAGTCAAACCAGGAACGCCTTTCTAATATTGTTCATCTAGTGATGGTCGCTGAAAACATCTCGCTTGGTATTCTATCTCTTCCCTCTGCGGTAGCAACCCTCGGAATCGTCCCGTAAGAAATATCCGCCTCCACTACCCAGGAAGAAAGCTGACCGTCTCCCAGGGCATTTATCATTATCATGTTTCTGTCCGGCATCTCGTGGTACACCGGATACACTATGGGCCAGTTCAAGCAGCGTTATCCCCAGGTGCACAGCATGGGCGATGCTGGCGAGCTTCTTCTAGGCCCCATCGGGCGCGAGATTGCCTTCGTCGGTCAACTGCTGTTCATCATCTTCCTGATGGCCAGTCACATCCTCACATTCTCCGTGTTGTTCAACACCATTACAAACCACGGTACCTGCACTATTGTCTTCGGAGTTATCGGCTTAGTCGTCAGCTGTATTGCCGCCCTCCCACGGACAGCAGAAAAGGTCTTTTGGATGTCCATCATCTCCGCCATCAGTATCCTAATCGCCACTATTGTCACGATGGTTTCCATCGCCGTCCAGGCCCCCGATGATGTCCAGAACGATATTGTCACCACCCCGACATTCCAGGAAGGTTTCTTGGCCGTCACCAACATTGTATTTGCTTTCATTGCCCACGTCTCTTTCTTCGGTATCATGTCGGAAATGCAGGATCCCAAGGACTTCCCCAAAGCCCTTGCCATGCTCCAGGTTGTCGATACTACTATGTACGTCGTGACCGCCATGGTCATCTACTGCTATGCCGGCCCGGGTGTCTCGTCTCCGGCTCTATCGTCGGCTGGACCTATGATGAAGAAGGTTGCCTACGGCCTGGCCATCCCAACGGTACGTTATTTGTCTCCTTGCAGCTTCTTTGGGAGTCTGTTCTAATTTCTGATAGGTCATCATTGCCGGTGTTATTTTTGGCCACGTTGCTTGCAAGTACATCTATGTTCGAATCTTCCGCGGCGATCGCTCGCACCACATGCACCAGAACAGTCTTTTGGCCACGGGTACATGGGTTGCTATCGGCTTGACTACGTGGACTGTTGCGTGGATCATCGCAGAGTCCATTCCGGTGTTCAACGAGTTGCTGAGTTTGATTGTATGTTCTCCGAGTATTTACTACTGTGCGTCTACTAATCTATTGTGCAGAGTGCCCTATTTGGAAGCTGGTTTAGCTGTAAGTGTTTTGAGACCCTGGGAAACATCGAGAAATGAATGCTAACTGAGAATATAGACGGTCTCCCGGCCATTTTCTGGTTTGTGATGAACAAGGGACAGTGGTTTTCGTCCACTAAAAAGATCTGCTTGACTATTCTCAACTTGATCGTTCTTGGAATTGCTTGTGCTATTGTACGTTTTGTCTATCTGTGTGATTGTGAATTTCTTTGCTAACAGGACTAGTGTGCATTGGGACTCTATGTCTCGGGCGTGGCTATCAACGCGAGCTCGTCCAAGGCCAGCTGGACCTGTGCCAACAACGCCACCTAGACTCGGTTATTACGGAGAACATATATTATGTTCATTGCTTCAAACGGTTGCTTTATAGATTGGGTAAGTGTTGACTGATAAATTGCATCAATTGGCTGGGCCATTGTAAATAGACTGATGTTCAAATTTACACATAACCCTTGCATGTGGGTGCTGCTTTTTAAATGTATATTACTTGAAATTACATGATTCTCAGTATAATGTGGTATTCTTCTCTTGTACAAATTGAGCTATAAGACATGGTCTTTTAATTATTTGGCTGAGTTTCCAAGATTCTCCCATCACCTGAATGGTACTAATGTCCGGGCTTTCCAGGCTTGCGTCCCTTCGTCTCCGACAAACCCAGGCATTCAGCCATGTTGAAGAAGATGTCAATCGAGCTGTACACACCCCCAAATAGCTCCTGACACGGGCCGCGTGCAAAGACGGGCACATCGGTCAACGAGTGGACACCCTGCCCCGCATCAACGGGCATGGTTCCATTGACAATGAAACCACTGACCGCATCCTTGTAGTTAGCAACATAGCCAAGCTTTGTGTCTTTCACAGCAGGTGTGCGGGGACCCTCGCTGTGAACCTGATAATCCTCCCGGTGGTCAGGGAAGGCAGCAACGCCCGAGTGCAGGGTGTATCTCGGGTCCCATTGGGCCGGGAAGTGGACGCCCTCAGAGTACCGCAAGGCGTTGGATCCGGCAACGGTGTATTGCGACAAGCCGGAGTTTTCATAATATCCGACTGCATTGCGCTTGCTGCGGGCGTCTTCCTGTGCCTCCATGTACTTGGTATCGACAGAGCCGGTTACGTCGAAGCCGTGGCCGTGGTCGGCTGTGACGATGATCAGGGTATCTTCGAGCTGACCCAGCTTCTCGAGTTTCTCGATTGTGGCGCGCACGGTATCGTCGAGCTCGAGGAGCTCGCCAAGGGATCGGTCGTAGTCCAGAGTGTGCATCTGCTTGTCGATGCTGGCGGCCTCGGACATCAGGAACCAGCCGTCCTTGCGGTGTCGCTTGTCTAGCACGTCAATAGCCTTGAGGGTCATGTCTTTGAGTCCGGGCAAATCGTCTGCATCGCGACCTGAACCATCGGGGTAGTTGCTCTGGTTGTAAAGGTTGGACTGGTAGACGTTGCGATCAAGCCAAGTAGCGAGGTTGGATTTCTGGAAAACACCCAGCAACTTCTCCTTGTTTGAGGCACTGTGGAGCGCGGTGTTGTTCCAGGCCACGTTGTAACCCTTCTCAGCGAAGAGCTTGTAGTAATCGCGAGTCTCTTCGCTCTCGAGGAAGTCCTCCGCACCAGCACCAAGGAGCACATCAGGACCATCCCAGTTTGTCCACTCATAGTCGGTTAGACCACCTGCGTAGTATGAGCCGATGACATGGTCGTATTCGCCGCGGTCGCTGGTGTGAGCAGCCAAACCGGCAGGGGTAGCATCTGCCAAGAACGCAGTTGACACAATGCCAACACCGGCGTTCTTGTTCTTGCGGCGGAAGATCTCGGCGATTGTCTCGAATTTTGGGTCATCAAAGGTATCGCTGGAGGAGTCTACATAGACACCCAAAGCATTGACGGTGGTCTTGTGACCGGTGTAAAGCGCCGTTGCGGAATTGGCCGAATCGGTGATGAACGAGTCCATGGAGTGTGTCATCTGGTGACCCAGGACGGGGAACTTGTCCAATGCCATCTTTGTCATGTATTTGCCGTTGATGCTGCGGTGGGCAATGAGACGTGCTGCGGTGATCATGTTTGTGGTCATGCCATCTCCGATGAACATGACGACGTTCTTCGCGCGACGCTTGGTAGGAAGATCACGAACAAACCAGTTGGCCACTGTCTTTTGTTCTCCGTAATAGGTCAGAGTAGCCTCGTACTCGCCGGGCTCATAAAGGGCAATTCGCCTATAGATCTTCGAGGTCACATTGACAAGGGAAGGCGTTTCTGCGTCCTCGGCGAACCGATCTGTTTCTGTTAGCTTTATGCGTTCCTCAAGGACAGAACGATAGGAGAATAGTACCTTCAAACCATGTGAAGTCCCATTTCTCGAGCTCAGGTTCATCAATCTTGAAGTATTCCGTTGCAGAGACAGCAGCATTGCCCTTGCCCTTGCCATTGCCCTTCTTGGCGATGGTGAATTTAAAGTTTTCGTCCGGCTCTCCAATGCGAGCTTCAGAACCATTGACGGGAGAGTGTACTTCGAGGCGGATGTCGAAGAATTGACCCGCGAGGAAGTCAACCCTGCAAATATTCGTTAGTAGCTAGAAATCAAGTGTAATTGAAACATTACATACTGATCTGGCGGGAAGATACATCCCAAGTCGGGGCAACCACCCAACCTCTGGAAGGTCTGGGCTGCCGTGAACGCGACAAAGCATGCTAGCGCGGAGATTGCGGAGGCGCGCATCTTGATGGTGAATCTGATTGTGATGAAACCAAGTTACGTTTAGAGAGAAAGCCCCTGCATTAAGTACAACGACCTTCGTAGCTAATTGCAAGGTGCCAAGAGCCTCCGAGGCAATTTATAATATATAGTGATACGAATCTCCGAAGTATCCCAGTCCCTTCTGAAAATGTTATGGCTACATAGTACGACTTGTGTAAGAACGAATAGGAAGTAAGCAAGATATGCACGTGTGTAATCCTGGGGTTTACCTGGGAAGCTTGAACCTCCTTGCCAAGTCTAGCGAATGAAATGCCAAGCCAGGTCCAGCCAACCCCCGTTGTCCGCCAAGATTAGTAGTCTTGGCGGACCATTGCACGTGGGATGGATGAGAGATAGGATGGAATGACGTTTTATTTACTAACAGCTGCTGAGACACGTGAATCATTTCTCATAGCTTCCTATGGAGTACCAAGTGTAGGGCTATAAGCCACTAGCCTAGCGTCTACCTCTCCGACGGTATCCGACAAATGGGTAGCTGTAAGCGTTCGGTTGAAATGTCCTGTCTTACGCTCCGCAGGAATGCAACGAAAATGGGCACCGGAGATCGAGATGTCCAGTATTTTCTATGGTCCTAGCCACACTGCTTCGAGATACAGAATCATCATTGTATAGCTGGAAGCAATAACAAAATAAACAAAGAATCGACTACTAGTATCAGACCATGAGGTGCGGGGGATGGTAAACGTCGATCAAAGGAGGTAAACCCGGGGCCGAGACAAAAAAGAAATCATATATAATCGTGCCATAAATTATACGGAGAAAACCATTCGAAATTCTCGAGTGAATTTTACATATCATATAGGTGTGTTCGTTGAAAACCTATTCTCATCGTAGCAGCCAACGGTATGGCGTTGGCTTTCATTGTCTAATTTCTCACCTTGAGACCCTGATACAACTTACCGTGTCGACTCTTTATTGTCGAGGATAGCAAATGGATATCCATCCACATGGCTTACGAAATATCAAAGACAATGGAATGTCCATTGTCCCAGCCCTTCAAAGCATGGATATGTTACTATTTATGATCGAAATCCTAAGCTCGAGTCCAATCAAACACTGCATGGTTAAATTTAGCACTTTGATCTAGACGATGCTTTCAAGTCCAGCTCTTTCTCCATTGTTTATGGATCGCACTTTATGGAAAAGCGAAAGTCCAGTTCAAAGTACAGAGCCTATAAGTTCCTACATGCCCATCAAGTTCGCCTTGATAAATGGAGCCTGATACAGAGAAAGCAGCAATTCCCCTTGTTGGCCTTGGATTGATCTCACCCTCTTTACAGAAAGCTTCAGACCAATCTACATCCAGAATTGACAACATCTCTCCAATGTCACGCCCCAACGTTCTCAGATACGGCAGTCGACAAGCCTATGGCCGATTACTACAGCAATGGATCGAATCTCCAGAATCTGACCCGTCTGTGGCCGAATGTCCAATTCTATCTTCTACGCTAAAATTCAAGGATCTCAAGAAGTCCAAGCAACTGGAAATAGATATGGACACGAGCCCTTATATTCCCATCCAGATTGAACTCGAATTTGCAGAACTCGACATCATGGGACCGACGGGCGGGGCGTGGGAAAGGGTTGCCATAGATCAACCTGATGCTTCGCCAGACACTGAATACCCAGACATTCATACGTGGGAAGGGCACATTGCGCCTGGGGTCTTAATAGTTGAGGAAATTAAGAAAGCACCGGGTTTCTTCATGTCAGAAGTCTGTCACGCCATTTACCAGGAGCACTTCCCGATCGATACCTTGAAGTCTGTCTATTTTATCGACGTGTGCAATAAGGATACCCGTTCGTTTGTGATGAATGAGCTCTACAGCGAATCCAATGGCCTTGCTTGGCCAGATGATAAGATACGAGATTGGATACCTGGAACCGCGGAATTCGAGGCGCTGCTAGGGACAACACTTGGACGGACTATGGCACGTTTGATCTTGGGGGCCTTCAAACGTGGGACTCGGCGAGTCTCACGAATCAGGACCTTTCATTCATTTGATACATTGCAGATGCAGTTTTCCATTGAGGTTGAGCAGACTGATCCCACTGGTACCAAGATCGAACCCGATTCGGATCGTAGTACGGGCCCTGAGACAAGGTCAGCATCGCGCCGGAAAAATCTCGAATCGAAGAAGCACAAGCTGGACTTGGCTGAGACTAGACCGACGAAAATTCGGAGAACAGCCCCCTAAGTTGGACGCTTATGATTGGTGTTGCTAACCGTATCACTGTCCTTGTTATTTGTATTTTGGATGCTCTTGATTTTATTTGCTTATCAGATTATCTTTTGTGTCTAATGCTTTTCTGCTTTTCTGCTTTTCTGCTTCTCTAAATTTGTGATAACCCTTTTTTTCGATAATATTATAGATCACAATAAGATGCAATATTTGTAATTTACTCCTTTCCCAGGGTTGGAATGACCCTATATGTTGACTTTTCTCATAAAATCACCTCGTTATATATTAATACTAAAAATGACCAGAATAATATACCAGCAGATGGTCCAGCTCAAAGAAGAACAGGGTTGGCACACAGCGGACAGCGCGCCTTCCACTTTCAAATCCCAGTCTATAGGTTTCCGCTTCTGATTCTTCTTTCATCTTGCATGAGTGTATTTCAAAACAAAAAGTGGCTGATTGATCTAAGGGGCTTTCTTCCGCCGAGTCGGCGGGTCCGCCAACGCTATACTCAAAGCTCCCTGCACCGAGACGAGACCCAACAGAATCTCTTTCTTCCAAAATTCTAGCTATCTAGCTTGCAGGGATCTAGCTTTTAGTTTTTTGTGAACCCGACATTTTCTAATCGAGTTGAAAGAATTCGCGCTTCGCGCCCAATGGCTCCTTTGTCATTGGACCTGGGGATTGCCGTGGCCAAAGCCCGTAAGTAGCCAACGAGAGATCCGCGAAGTCGATGAAGCTAACGCTTATTGCAAGTTACATGTATTTGCCATTGCCATATGGATTGTCATCATTGCTCTGTTCCGTGGTCAACGGGGAGGCACACAGCCCCCAAGCATATTGTACTATCTTTTACGCGTGCCCTCTTTGAAAATGCATCTATGGAGCAGCTTCAGTGAGTGTAAATGTGAATAAACAGCAAGGATACTCAGATATATGCAGAACAACTGGTCTGACAAAAAGGAATCCTAAATGCACCCGACTTTCGCTCAAAAGAGTTACGAAGCCCACATGAAACAGTAAAAGACCCCTCTCAACATACTCATTCTCTCCAAAGGTACAACGTCATTCTGGCTAGGGAATCCTGCCGCCGAAAAGTTGATAATCTACTTCCCTAGTGGCGGTTACTGCCTCCTTGCGCTAGCGGCTTCAGTTATCTCGAGGCTCTCTGCGGACATGAAACAACATGGGGGAAGTATTGGCGTGTTATTAGTTGCCTATGAGCTTGCCACTCATGCCCGATGGCCTCGTCATTTACAACAGGTTTTGTCATTCCACGGTACGCCATCCAGACACTGGGAAAGCGACCGTCAGACATTGTTCTTCGCGGTGACTCGGCGGGCGCTCATCTTGCACTTGCGCCACTGTCACATCTTGCTCATCCGCATCCTCAGGTGGTCGTGCCAAATTTTCAGTGGATGAACCACTGGGAGAAATGAGGTTGTTCTCCCTTCGGGTTGACTTCAGAACTGATCACGCGAACTCCAGTGAAAATTCGGACAGAGATATTATTTCCACTAAGGCTTTGAAGATCTGGGCTCAGATCTTCCTCGGGCAGATTGTGGAAGATGAGTACAACTGCCCTGTCAAAGCCCCAGGGGGCTGGTGGAGAGATCTTCCCGTTTCAAGAATCTTTGTTGGCGCAGGAGACGACGGCCTGTTGGATCCAATTAGGCAGACGGCCGCGAAGATGAAGATTAAATGATCTTCACAAGATTCGTATTTAATCTAACAGTTTGTCGTCCCCAGGCCGAACTCCCCGACGTGAGCATTAGTATTGTGCCGCGAGAATTCCACGTCGATCCAATCACAGACTTCGCTTTGAAGATACCCCCTGGTTTGCAGTTCAAGGCGATGGCATCATGGTTGAACCAGGCCACGGGATGAAAGACACGGAATGAAAGATGAAGACACTGCATTTAATTGCATCTCATAATCTGTAGAGGCGGTCAGGTAGCGCCAACTCAGACAGGTTTGGGGCTTTGTTTGACGTGTCGACACATCAACACCCAGTGTCCTTGATATTCCAATATTGACTGCACAACTTATATGACATAATTTCAATCCAGATTCTTACAGTGGCACTCGTGTTTTATCTGAATAGATCTTTTTTTTTTGGCTCCGAGATGAGCTCGATCCATCCACAGGCGGGTGATCAGCCTCGGAAGAAGATCCGAAAGGGGACCCGCAGTTGCTGGCAATGTACAGGAGCCCCCTTACTTGAAATGATTTATCCCTAACGATCTTTTTTTTTAAGGCAAACATCGCAAAGTCCGCTGCGATTTTGCATCTGATAGCGACCAAAGCTGCAGAGAATGTCTTGCCCGGGGACTTCCATGTCGCAGCCAAGAATTCCCGGAACCTGAGAACCCCCGCGATTCGGACCGCACACACCTGAATGAACGGATGGCTCGTGTGGAGACCCTGTTGGAGAAGCTTCTGATACGAGTCGATGGAAATAATGGGAATGGGAACAATCAATATTGTGACTCGAAATCATCCATGGAATCCAGCCCTGAATCGAGTCCCCCGACCGTGACCCCAGGTGCGGACAAGGTGATAATTTCGTCTTTTTTTAACAACCAAGCGGTTAGTGTGATAATTCCCATCAGTCCACAATGCCTCTATCTCGTGCTTACTCATGAATAGCTAGGTTTCGAACAATCAGATACCGCTGCGCCCGACCATGCGCCATATGGCACAATTAACCGGGACTGGGAGAGACTGCGCCGCGATCTGATAGCCTTGATACCCTCCCAGGAGGCATTAAAAATTATATCAGAGGCCAGCAGTAGCTGGTGGCTTATGCGCGTACAGTTCTTCGAAGACTACGATCAATCATTGCTTTCGTCCTCGGTGGAAACCCTGCAAACCAGCCACCCGGCTGTAGTTGGTAAAGCCATTTTGTGGATTGCACTTTGTCTCCAACAACTCCCTTCGGAGTGTGATTTGCCCTCCCTCGGCCTTTCTTGCCTGCCATCGGTCTTGGTCGAAGAATGCCTCACCCGTGTTTCCACATTGGTCTGCGCTGATGACTCTATCGTCAGTTGTATTGACGGGCTCGAGTGCTTGATTCTGCAAGGGTTGCTTTTTAGCAATGACGGGAAGCTTCGAAGTGCATGGCTTTCTACTCGTCGAGCCGCAGATATCGCCCAGGTAATCGGGTTCCACCGTGCTGAACCAGCTACCCATGAAAGCGCCGAGTTCCAAAATCGGGCTAGGTCAGTCTGGGGACACATCCTGATGATTGACAGACATTTTTCACTGATCCTCGGAGTGCATGGAGCTATCTCCAATACGGCAATAGATCTATATCAATCCAACCCAAGCGACGCTCAAGATTTGCCCGTTCACAATGCATCCGCTCTGAATCCGCTTGCTCGGATAGCTGGATCAATCATTGACCGTAATCAGGTCTTCACAGAAGTCACTCCGGCTATGGTACAAATGACACAAGTCATCGATGCGGAACTTCAATCGTTCACGCCCCCTCCTTTAATGTCACCCGACAATATTCCGCCAGGCAAGTCTATCAAGCGGTGCAATTGTTTCCTCGAGCTTCACTATCGGCTATGGTACTACCAGCTCATGGTGTGGCTACACCTGCCTCTCCTACTAGCGTCAGGTACTGATAACTCCTATGAATATAATCGGAAAACCTGTCTCCAAGCCTGCCGCCACTGCATCAGTTGCTATGACAATATCCGGCGCACCACGGAAAGTGGGTTTGACTCGAAGGTTCTTCATTTCCAAGCCTTTGCTACGGCAATGGCAATCATTATCAATAGACTCGGGCCATTTGGCCCGCAAGACTTTGACAAAGAAGACCACTTTGCTATCGACCGGGTTGAGGCTGTTCTAGAGCAATTATCGAACACCGTTCCTCCAGACAAGATCGCAACTCGAGGGTTGCACGTCTTGAAGACTATTATGGCGATAGGAATTGGGACCGAACTCCCGCGATTTGACGCGTCAGAAGGACACCAATACCAGAATGGAAGGCTTAGTCGCATCAAGCTTGATATTCCCTTTTTCGGCCGGGTACACCTCGAACGTCGTTCCTTCACCGACCAATCATCTAAAAGCTTTGCTGTGCCCAGCACCGTTCCTGGGCAATACTACCCATCATCTTCAAGAATGCTCACAATCCAGGAACCCGGTTATACAATTGAGCAGGTTGCCGAAACAGCCCAACTGGCGGATGACAATTTGTTTTTTGACCCGAGTACCGAGTTTTGGGCTTTCAACTCTCAATTCACGTTTCAGCCTCCATTTTTGGCTGATTCTAATTTCAACTGGGATAATTGGGGGATGAATGTGGGAGTATGACGAGACCGCGTGCATGTAGAGCAGGTTTGCGCTGATGCCAGCCCTGTGTTCTTGTCTTTATTTTGGTGTTGCGACTTATCTCTTTTTGGTTGTATATGGAGTATTCTTGGATTCTTTCGATGTACCTTGAATGGTCCTGCTTTGGATAGATATCTTGATCTGACAAGCAACAACGCCACTTTGATTGGCCTCTTATTAATCCAATTCTTTTCTTTCCTAATTGACTTTCCCTCCATCGGAAATGGGATTCTTTGACTAAGGATGATAAATCCGGGGCGAAAGGTTCACACCAATTGTACTTGGAACTCTGATAAACATGGAGGTCCTTATTTAGGACGCTCATCGAATGGCACTACATATTGAATACCCCCGCAGCCCACTTTAACATCCCACCCACTGTTTTTCTATGCGTTCAACCCCATGTCACGGTTCGAAACTCCGAGGAGATGAACTGTACCAGAGTGAAAGGACTTGTGTGAGGTTGTCTGTGTAAGTGTGAAGTCGACTAATAGCCCGGGTATGTCAGATTACTACCCTATTTCACACTCCTTAAGCTAGCCCTATGCGGCATAATGATATATGATTGACCCCGTAGGTCCCCACTAAGTCAATAGAATGGCATTGTAACTTCACCCCTTGTTAATGTATGTTTGTTTAAAGACACTAAATACGTAAACACCATAATCAGTTGGCTATAAATCATGTCATTATGCGAGATATGTGCAGTGAAAGGGAAGATGATATGCTAAACTATACAGGTATCGTAGAGGGTGAGTGAGGGCTAGGTTCAAGAAGAATCGGGGGATAAATATTCAATGACAGACGGGTCTGACTGAATCATATTGAGGACTGGGTCTGTTATGTATGCTCTACGAACTCCGTATATTAGTAAGAAGTATCGTTAGAGTGTGCCCAAGTGTGTGAAGAAGACACGTACGAAAAGCCCCTTGCGATCATATCCGGAAATCGGTTTGTGACGGAGCCACCTCCTTCGTGGATTTGTTGCATGTAGACATTGATCTGCTCAGTCGGCACCGAGTCTTGAAATGTTACCTATGCTTGTTAGTAGGGTTCATGGGAGAAAGAGAGAGAAGGGGGTTTTACGATATATTTCGGGGCCATTTTGGCCTGCCTAATGGGTACGGATTTGAGGGAAGTCGAGACTTGGGGTAACATTTCATGATTAGCTTGTCTCTATATAGGCATTTGAACGTTGACGTCATTCATTATATGGGCCTCGTTTTGGAACGCCCGGGGCCCCCGGGCCTCCGGGTAACAGGTGGCAATATACCTTGTACGCTAGAAACCAATCGCTTCTGGGGGCTGTGTATTTCCCTATTGCACATTTCCAAAATTCGAAGGAATAATATTCATATTTTGCCTTGGTCGTGTTTCGAGTTCCCGGGTTATTGCCGTCAATATACACCAATCGGCGATATTCCATTCACAAAATGAGATCTACACCCGCTCTACGGCATCATGCAACAACTATCTAATTAGTCACACACTAGCTTGCTGGTTTTTGAACTCCCATATATATAGTTCTATCTGAAACAGAGGAATGACACGCTGGGTGATCGCAAAAGACATCAAGGATGGATGTTGTATACGTGAGCGAAACAGAAAGAAGGGACAAAGAGAGACAGGGCGATCCGGGGCACGATGGCCGAGAGATCTTATTTTAAAATTTCCGATCCTTGGGACGACAGGAGCTCAGTGAAGTTAGTCCAAGCTCGCTTGAAAGAAGGATCCCTGGTGGAACACTCAGTCAACCATCGCAGAGCCTTCTGGACTCTTTCGACTGACTCATTTCTTTCGCTAGCACCCATTTTATCCCGGCCGAGCAACTGCGTTATGAGTACTACGGTGCTCTGCGTGAGATAATGGAGAGCACACCACCAAGGTGAGCAACTCAAGAGCCAGGAGATGTTTGGTTCATTGGGTAAGAGATCAAGCATTTGGCCTGCTGAATTGAGACAAATCATTGTCATTGGGGTATCAATACCAGTGGTATAGTCTTCACCGCTGGTATAAGAACGGAAGGCAGGCTGTGAAATGACAAGTTTGGTCGAATAGTATTGAAACGCCAAACTTGTCCGCTGACGGACAAAAGCTCGGTCGACTTTGGTTTCGGTGAAACGATAAGTCGTAGGGAGCCGAGCGAACCAGTTGTCAGCAGCGCTGTTGAGCGATGCCATGGCCAGTTCGGTGTCGTTGCGTGGTTTTCGTCCCGCTTCGGGAGAATACAAGATCTCGATTGCTTGTCTCATTACGGCTGCCAAGTCAATGGAATAAAGTAAGTATAATGAGACGTTAGCCTGCAGCTGCTGGGTGGGTGAGTCCCGTTGAGCCGTGGACTGTAAAGAAAGCGAAACGGCTAAACGGTCGTTCGGTTCAGTCGCAGGGTCGCAGGAGAGTAGAGAAGCCATGAGGCGGGCTCTGGATTGATTGTCCAAGATAAGCCTCATCACATGCTCATCGCGAAAGTCTTCCTCCTTGTAAGGCACCGGCAAAGGGGTTGTGCAGTGTTCCTGCTGAATTCTGGGCATGCGTCCAGTCATTACACCGAGCAGGATGTCCAACATGTACAGCGCCCACCATAGCCTGTATCTGGTTTCTTTGGACACGTGTGTGATGCTGGGGCTTTCGCTACGAAGGTGAATTCCCATCGCGATCGCCGACTGAATTGCAATACCGCATGTTCTCCATGCCCTAAACCGACATCAGTGGACAAGTAAAGGCTCGCGGTATTCGACCTACCTATTGGGCTGTCCGATGGAAAGCAAATAAAGTGATATTAGCCCCTCTACCTGAGTTTGCTGCAGGTTGGGATTGTCCAATAGCGCACCCTCGCCCATGCTTAACCGCTGGGCACGGGAAAAGTACACCGTGTGGCTACTGTGATTCTGCTGGGATTGTTCTCCGGAAAGCTCAGAATGCCTTGCAGCGATCGAAAACACCATATTCAATAACGCCATCCACTTGTTTCCAGGATGCGTTGTTGAGTTTGAATAAAATGAGCGACACTGGCTTAGAAAAATTTCTTTGCCGACGACGGGAAAGGAGGCGTGCGCAACTTGGAAGTATCGATCCACCAGTTCATCGGCGACCAGTTGTGGGGGATATGCGAAGACATCCAGGTCGTCTATCGGTGGTACTCCGGCATCATCCATGAAGAATCCACAGGACGAAACTGATGGACGGGCTGATTCCTCAAATTGGCCATCTGGGTTGGAAATTGGCTGACTGATCAAGCACCTAAGCCTGTATAACCATGCGGTTGCCGAATGTTCTCCTACGAAGCCAATCGCTTGCAGTGACATGTCTCCGTTAAAGTCCTCCAGGGTGTGATCCGCGTAGAAAAGTGTTGGGGTTGACGAGTCTGTCTCGTCTGGTATTTTGGCGACGGTCGGCGATGAAGGGGTAATATTAGCTATCTGTTGGTTGTTAGACTGATCAGCCCGATCAAGAGTTCTAGTTTCGGTCGACTGGATGATGGAGTCCTTGTTTTTTTTTTTTAACTGACTTTTGCGAGAGCTTGGTCGACGGTTTTGGCCAGCTCGATGTCGAATTTGGGATAAATATCGCGGACAAGAGATTCGTATTGCTGGAGTTGGGTTGTCATGGCTGTAAGTTGTCTGAATGCTAGGGGTAAGTATTTTGGGTGACCATATCTAGGACAATCACAGACCTGGCATTTCTCTCCCGTTTCCTGTCGACATAGACACAAAGGACATTGGCTTCCTCGCAGCGGAGGCAAGAAGGTCGATGGCCAGAACACTTGTTTTTCTGTTTGCGACAATTGTGGCATGCTCGACTAACTCGGCCATTATTGCTTACAAGTGGAAGGTCAAGTCGAGGAATGGCCACTTTGGCGTTCACTGGCTGTTCCACTATGACCCGGGGCGTGCTCCTGGGATAGCATGTTCCGAAAACCGTCCAGTCAGGTCGGGTCAAAGGTGAGACCTCTTCATTCTCAGCCGCAGCTGTGTCGTAGGTGATTGGATCCTTTTCACCTTGGACAGATGGATGGGGTTCAGACTGCCAAGCGTGATCAAGTGGCCCGCTCATTGCGACTTCGCAGCCCGCTAGTCATTGTCAGTGTTGAGTTATAAGCGAGAACACAAAAGTTGCGACAGACCAGATAGTACGCTTGTGGGGGATGGCTCGGGAAGAAAAGCCCCTCAGGGAAATAAATATCCCTGCCGGTGGATTTTGAAGGCTGGAGTATAGCTTGCAACAGGACTATTTTGGCAAACGAATTCGAAGCTGTGATTGGCAGGCTATGGCTGCCGGCTCAATTCGCTCGGTGCTATTGGTTGGTGTACCGAATGAAAAGCCCGGCCCCCTGGCTAGATTTCAAGGCATGAACATGTTGATGCTTCATATATTTTGGGCTATATACCAATCCGAACTTGACTATAATGGAAGTGGTTCATTCTACATCAAATAGAATTGAAGTTCAAAATATCTTCAACGCCAGGCCTCAATGTTTATAGTGCTTTGTACAGCTCTAAAGAGAAATCCATTCACCACATATTTACTATATTCAATATGATCTCTCTATTTTTTTTAAAAAAATGTGTTGTATGCATATGGTGAATCGAGATTTTTTGATATTCATACCATGCACATCAATAATTACTTCCAGGTGGGAACTAACCGGTTCAAGTAGTCTCAGCTGTGCCGATCTAGGAAAGTCATCACGCTTTGGATCTCCTTTCTAGGTCTTGGCTTATATATGGAGATAGCGGTCTATGGTCCCGAGAAAAAAAAAAAGCCTGCCAGACCCACAGTCTACCCGACGGCAGGGGATTGCCGTAAGTCAGATTTTGCTCGGCCAATGAACGATGCAGCTCAAAATCTGCAATGGGACCGTTTCAGGATTTGGGCCTATGTCTTGCTCAGGTGACTTGAAAGCCTGAACGCTTTGAATTTCAATTTTCTGCTCCGGCGTCTAGTGCCAAGATAACGCCCATAGTGGCGTAGGTGTGCGTCCTGGCTCCCGAGTTCCAGCTTCTTATTATTCGCTCCAGGCCTATGTGGTTCATCTTTTGTCTTTATTCATCTCTATAAAGTACTTTGTCGATTATTCACTACGATGACATCATATACTACATATATGTAAAGTATCGCATTCAGCTGACATTCATCCCTGTAGCCTTAGGAAACAAAGCATGAATATATAATGAAAGTCTCAAACTGAAGAACTTCAGTTTCAGTGTGGTATGGACAGCTAGACCAACTGGCCTGGATAAAGAGCTGTGAACGCCAAGACCCGCAGCGTAGGGGGCCATTGACATCAAATGTGGGGTAATAAGGGTATGTAAATAGGTACGTAGTACCTAGCATGTCTAGTTATATGCGACAGATATATCATAGGTGAGTTCTTGGACTACGACTGGGTAATATCGTCATAGCCATTTCCTGATCGATGACGTAGCCCTGGGGAAGCTGCCATGCCGATCATGAAATTCCTACTTTGTATATTTTTCCCTTCAAATTTTTTGTCCTTGATTCTCATGATGAGAAGGTACATTCTTCTTCTACGTACGGTCAATTCAAATTAAGAGAAGAGAAAGCTTAACCTGACTCATTTCCTTCCCAACCTCCAAGATGGCTACAGGCCAGAAATCTAACGCTCCCCAGAGCCGTCGGGTCGGGGAGCATTGGAGTGGTAACAATCCAATTCCAACCATCCATCACTTTATGGAACATATCGATGCCGAGAAGAAGGAACGCGATCGCAGGATAGACGAAGAAAATAGAGCCAAGAAAGAGAAGGCTGCACATGAAAAGGCGCAACAGGCGTCGGGGAAACAACCAGAACAAGCAGATCAAAAAGATCAAAAATATGGCGATGCTGTCGCTCATAAGCCACGCGAGGTCTCCGAGGCCAAGATGCGTACCGTGACAGACCCCACCACGGGCAAGGACATCGGCGTTGAAGACCTAGACGAGACAGCTATGGACGCTGTCACGAATCCAATGGTATGTGGGATGATCTTGGACAAATTATGAAAGGAGTCTAATCCCTTCGCAGTTGACAGTTCCGAATGCAAATCTTGGGAAACCCACGGTAAGTTGTCTGTATAGAATATCGGCCATCGGGACATATCACTGACATGTATATCAGGACGTTCAAACAAGTGCCGATCAAGATCTTGCAGAGTATAAAGAAAAGCAAGACATCACTGCACCCCCCGATCCCATCGCCGAAGGCACAACCTCCGATGTTCCGATTCGAGGAGAGAAGACGAATGTGCTGTTCCACCCCACACCAACTGTCTCATATCAGCCCATGCTTGATTCATTGCAAAAGCGTGCCACGGCCCTTTGCATAGGGATACCTATTGCCATAATAGTACTGGGGCGGATGTTCGGAGGATCTCTTTGGGGCCTTATTCCCTTGGCCGCATGCATCACGAGTGGCGTATGGTTATGGATGCAGGAAGTTATTCGCAGCGGTCGAGCAATGGAGTGGAGCAGTGAACAGCTTCGTGGCAAGATGGTAAGTCTCGCTCGTATGATCTTGTGGATGAATTGAAATACTCACACCTCACAAGGCCACTGCCAATCTCCTTCCCGAATCCGTCGAGTGGATGAACAGTTTCCTCGCCATTATATGGGGACTCGTCAACCCAGAGATGTTGACGCCTGTGGCCGACACAATCGAAGATATCATGCAAGTCTCTGCACCCAAGGTTGTAGAGAATGTTCGAATTGCAGAAATCGACCAGGGCGACAACCCACTACGAATTCTGAGCATGCGGGCTCTTCCCGACGATCATGTACAGGATTTGAAGGAAAACATCCGCGAGGAAAACATCAAGAACAAGGACCCACAGGAAGCGGCTGCTGCTGAGGAAGGAGCGAGTTATTACAACATGGAAGCCTCCTTTGCCTATCACGCAAAGCCAACTGGTCAGTCTACTTCGGCAAAAGCACGCAATATGCACATGCAACTGGTCTTCTATCTGGGAATTCGAGGCTTGTTTGGTGTACCGTTTCCCGTGTTCGTGGAGCTGATCGAACTCGTCGGAACTGTCCGCATGCGCTTCCAAATGATGCCCGAAGCACCATTCATGAAGGATGTGACTTTCACTCTAGTCGGTATTCCTCACGTTAGGGCTGGCTGCATGCCAATGTTCCGAACGGGAGTGAATGTCCTCAACTTACCCTTGATCTCCAACTTTGTCAACTCCGCTATTAGTACCGCGTGTGGCATGTTTGCAGCCCCCAAGTCAATGACCATGGATCTTGGCATGATGTTGACAGGAGATGACATCCACAAAGATACTATGGCTCTTGGTGTGTTGTGGATTCGCATTCACCGCGCTGTCGGTTTGAGCAAACAGGATACTCGCGGAAGTGAGGGTGGTGGTAGTGATCCGTACATCAACTTGTCCTTCTCAAAATACGGCAAGCCTATGTATTGTACCCGTGTGATTACGGATGACCTAAACCCTATTTGGGAGGAGACTGCTGCCCTTCTTGTGACACCGGAACTGATCAAGGCCGATGAAAACTTGAGCATCGAGCTCTGGGACTCTGACCGCAACACAGCGGATGACATTGTCGGCAAGGTCGAACTACCTATCCGTGAGATGCTTCAGCATCCCAGTCATATGTATCCCCAGGTGTCAAAGCTTCAGGGTATGGATCAGGGCACTGAAATGCCCGGTCAGCTGCATTGGGAAGTTGGATACTTCGGGAAACCAAAACTCCGCCCCGAGCTGCGTACCGATGGCAAGAAGAAAGACCTTCCCAAAAACCTAAAAGGCGATCCGACTTTCGAAGATGAAAAGGGAACCATCAACAACGACGAAGAGGATGCCGTTATGCATACACCACCTGATCCAATCTGGCCCAGCGGTATCGTGCACATTGTGGTGCACCAGATCGTCAACCTTCAGCTTGCCAACATTAAAGGTAGTGATGGGAACCGTAAGGGCAAGGAGTATGAGCCGGCGAAGCCATATGGTGAGAACACAGAGGAGCAGGGTGAAGATCTTCCAACAAGTTACTGCAAGGTTATGTTGAACGATCAACTGGTACGTATTTGCAGATACATACCCCTCAACTCCAAATCCCGGATACTAACAGCATATTTCAGGTATATCGCACTCGTGCCAAGGCTGTGAGCTCCAAGCCTATTTTCAACGCAGGAACTGAACGATTTGTCCGCGACTGGCGCTCAGCCGTCGTGACCATCACCGTCCGAGACCAACGCTATCGCGAGCACGACCCCATTCTTGGTGTGGTTCCCCTCAAGCTGTCCGACATTCTTCAAACTAGCTCACAGGTGACCCGCTGGTATCCCCTCGATGGTGGTATTGGGTTTGGACGCATCCGTATTTCTCTTTTGTTCCGCCATGTGGAGACCAAGTTGCCACCTTCCATGCTTGGTTGGGATGTTGGCACCTTTGAATTTGCTGGACAAAATATCACCGCCAAGGGCTATGGTCGACACACTAAGATCAAGCTGCGCACCGGTGGCAGCGTTGGCAAGATTACCCGGCACAAGTGTCACTTAAATAACAGTGATGCAGAATTCGACATCTCCGATGAGACTTTCCGTGACTCGCTGCGCATGCCTGTGAAGCACCGATACCGGTCCCCAATTGTATTCGAGTTCCATAATCCGGGCAAGCGAGGCGCAGCAGCATACGCTGTTTTGTGGCTTCAACATATCGTTGATAACGAGGAAACAGACATCGACCTTCCCATCTGGACGACAAAGATGGGTGCTCGCTTGACACAAAATTACGTCACCGAGGAGAACTGGAAGGCCAAGGAAATACCCGGACTCGAGGACTTGACGGAGGTAGGACGTCTACAATTCCGATGCAAGTTCTCGCCGGGCATTGACGAATCGCACGAGCGGTTCGTGGTTGACAACGACTCCCGAGAAACCTTCGAGACCTGGGAAGCGTGTTTGTCACAAGGTGTCCGTTCCCGCGCCGTGAATGTCGAAGTTCCCGCCGAAGTGCAAGAGAAACATGAGCAGTCATTGATCGACGGACGGGACGTGTTGAAAAAAGCTTCGCCCTCCGAGCGTCAGCGGTGGATCGACCACCACGGCGAAGACTGGAGTGGTGCATTTGGTCAAGACCCACGTGCCTTCACTGATTCCATCGGACGCAAGGTCGCTGAGCCTGGCCGGGACGAACCTCCCAATGACCCGTACACCCCTCCCCCTCTCAAGGATCACGCTTCTCATCGGTCCAGTTTCCAAAGTGAAGATTACCATGACGAGGAAACCTCGGGATCAGATGACGAACTCGAGTCCTTGTCTAATGGACCCTCGACAATCAGTGGCGGTACTGAAAATGGGCTATCTGCGGCACAAGCCAATATGAGTACCAGCCAGATCAACAGGGCGAATAAACACAGTGAGCAGCGACAGCAGCGTGGTCTTATGCAGTGGAAGCCTGCGCGGAATGCTGCTTTTGCCAAAAATGAGGCAAAGTATGCGCTCCGGAAGATGAAGAAGAAGGTCGGGGCGGGTGGTCTCACTGGTCGCGAGCCAGATATCGAGACGGAGACTTAACGACATATGAATGTTTTCTATTTGTTTCGGGCGTTTTGTATTGTATGGATCCACTGTATAAAATGTGAATATCCATCATTTCCTATATATGCTTCACGAGTTATTGAAAGCTCTACCTTTTGTAAGAAGTGTACATCTATTCAATAAAACCAAATTACCCGTCAAGACCAGCCATCCCCAACCGTCCGGCAATCGTACTCATGTCCACGCCCCGCAAAACCTGCGTATCATCGGGACTGTCCTGCCAGTAAGGGTCCGGATCCCCGGATGCATCACAGTCCGCCATGTAGAAGTAGACTCCGGCCTCGGAGACAAACTTGGCGCGATCGAGCACAATTGCGAATAGGCGAAAGATCATGGGGTACATCTCTTGTGCTGTGATGAAATATTGGGGTTCTTGGCGGATGGTACGGTATGCGCTGGGGGATTGTTCGTCGCCTACGGAGAAGGTGTTCAGGGCGCCGATAGGGAAGGGATCTGCTCGATCCTCTCCTTGGGTTTGGTGGGATTGAACTTCGAGAACTTCGAGAACTTCGGTTTGGGCAGAGTGGATGGCTGACCAGGAAGAGGACTTTGGGATGAAGAATTTAAGAGTGAGTGTTTTATTGGCTGGGAGATGGGAGACAATTGACGCAGTGAAGAGGCGCGCTGTGCTTTCTAAAAGGGGGGACCCTGCTGTGTCTCGGATAGAGCTGAGAAAAAGCGCATGGATAAGGTATTGCATATCAGGGACGTTTCCCTTAGGAGTATTGGTGACTGTTATAATGTCGGCATCCTGAGAAATCTGGAATGCCGGATCAAGAGAGAAGCCGCCAACTGAAGTTTCCTGGCCTAGCTGATCGCGAATCTGCTCTTCTGATGGCAGATTCGAGTTAGGAGGCTCACCCTCGTCTATATCTAAGGCGTATTGCAGCCCGGGGCGACCGGCGTTATTAAAGATATCGATTATGATAATCTGACCGATGTCAATCTGGTTCATAATGCGCTCGGTGGCTAACTCAAATGCCTCTGGAGAGAGATTCTCGTTCTCAGACTCAGATAAGCTCTGCGTCTCGTCAACATCACCACGCGTGCTAGAAAACGAGCGGTTGAAGTAGAGTAAATCCGGGCCTTCGCCCACCTTAGCAAGCGAGTCCGAGTCCTCGGTATAGCCCAGTCGATAGCTGTGCGATCGTAGTAGGACACAAAACCCAACAGTCGAGTAGTTACTAGGACGGGTGAATTGCGGAATCAGCGGGGGTGGATTCTCGACCCCTGACCGGTGTTGCTGCTTGCGGCGAGCGATTTCACGGCGGTTATGCTCAATACAGGCAAAGGGGTCGGGCGGGCAGTATGAATAAACCTCGAACAAAGGCTTGACCTCGTCGTCCCAGAAACTTTGCATCAGGTACTTCCGGAGCTGTTTGTGGTTGTCATCCAGGGAGACAAGGCTGTAGACCTGGATGGGAACCAGGTCGTCGGGGTCTGGAGAGAAGTCTAGCCCGACGAACTGTTCGAGCACCACACGGTGACCCAGATGGTCAGCGTAGGTGTGCACTTGCTGCCAGCCATTCTCGAGCATGGCTACTTGGGCTTTGGGGGTATTTGAAGAGTAAACAGAGTTAGAAACACTTGAGAACTAAATGAGGGTCAGCCAATCTAGCCCTAATCGTGCCTGATCGCCAATCACCCGGGGGCCAAAAGCAACGCACGAGGCTGTGACTTTGGCTGGTTTTAGCTTGTCTCCACTTGATAATGTATGCGGAACAGAAGAGGTCGTATGTACTCCAAGGGGCCAAATGCACCAGTGTGAACGGTCCCTGCACTTCACAGGGAACTGTCCTCAGACCCAAGATCAACAAATTCGGTGGCTGAGGCTCAAGGTAGACACAGGATGTGGAGCGGTGGATAAAGACCCCGGTGAGCCGCTGTCTTTTACCCCGTACCCGAAGGGGAGATTGTCCGGCCCATCACATTCTGACGCTGCCGCAGAGCGATGGGGCCAATATTCATCGATTGGCACTGGCCATATGTGGGAGTATCACTCGGTTGGGAGGAAGAATAGAGAGCAGCTTGCTCAGGGTAGTCGGGATAGTTTCCGGCAGTTGGTATCACATCATTCAGATAGGGGTCAGGCAAATTGGCTCGAGGAAGCTCGCTGGGTTCTGCACTGGAGAGACCATATTAATACCAAACGGAATGGGGGGAGGTTGTTTTGAATATGTTTTATTGAAGCCCTCTGTACCACGTTCTTTTTGTAGTACATTATTCTCCGGGGTATAGCTTCTTTATTTCGGGGCGTCCAGTGGCCTCATTTCGTCAATAATCCGGGTTTTCTAAGCCAGTGGAAGGGCATCTCACTAAGGCTCCTGCCGCTGGCTACCAAAATCTTTGGTTGTTCAGCGTTACCATGATAAATTCAAGAAGTTCTGAATGGACGAAGTAGGATATGTGAACATGCAGATATACTATTATTTTCCATCTAATTTGATAATAGTTTAGTTCCGAATTTAATCCGGAATGAGTCGTCTAGAACAAGCAGACAATCCACTTGTATTGTGATCACGAAGAAACCTCCAAGGCCGTTATAACGTTGAAAAGATAATTGTATTCGTGAAATTTGCCAGTCACTCGCTGTATTGTTTTGCGGTGCTTTATGAGATTAGAAAAAAGTACATATACATCAAATGGACATCATGCATAAAGATATGTATGCTAAAACAGCAGCCATAGAAGAGAAAACAAGGAGGGCAGATGTGCCCATAGCCACCAGATAAAACCAAACAGCGCCTCTATACATGATTCGTGAGTAATATATGCATCGCCATTATTATGCAGACAAAAAAAAAAAAGAAGTAGCGAAAAAAAAGACATCAGCCATGAAACCATGAACATTGCATAATTAATGACCGGATGTAAAATCGGTGGGTACCCGAAGAGGCTCCGACCCAAAGGAAACCTGAGCCGAGTGCAACAATGAGACATTCTCGGGGCCGTTGTTCAAGGCCTTATCGATAGGCCCCAGAGTCCATTTCCATTCCCTGCGTCGCTTAGCACCGTGCCGGGGAGTCTGCGGCGTAGACGAGCCATCAGCCTCAAAGCCATCTAGCAAAGCCACCGCCCGGACCTGACGCTCTATCCGCATTGTGCGCCGTTTCTTGCGTTCCGTCTTGGAGAGCGAAGACCCACGCACACCTTCATCGGCAGTATCATCGCCCGAGGCACTTGTCTCTGATGTTGATGGGCTGGAATCTGTGTCCTCTTTTTCGCCCTCGCCTTCGGGATTGGGGGCGGGGCATGTCTCAGGTGGGGTTTTGGTGTCTGCCTCGTTTTGCACTGCCTCCTCCGTTACGAGATCGAGGTGTTGTGCGGTATAGCGTTCTGTTCGGATTTCCTCTTCTAGTGGGTACCGGTAGCTGACTTGTTTCTTTGCTGGGAAGAAAACGCGGCGGGAGGCTGCACCGTTGGGGCCATTTCCGCCCGCTGATATGGTGCCAGATTGTCGGCGGGTTGCGGGTTCTAGTGGGGAGTTGCGTAGAATGCTGCGCACTCCGATGGGGAGTTGGTAGGGGCTTCGGTGGTTGAAGATGTTATTGTTTGGGTGGATGTAAGGGGAGGATGGTTTGTAGCGGGTAGATTTGGGGGGGGAGGTTGCGGATGATGGGGATGTGACCTCGTAGGCGTTCTTGAAGGTATTTCGTATGGTGGGGGATGCAGCTGGTGCCGCGGCGAAAGAAAAGGATAGGCCGGTGGTTGAAGAGCCGAATGTGCGAGGGAGAGCGGTGGTTTGGAGGGTGAGTTTTGGTCGGGAAGTTATTGTGGTCGTGGCATCTGGCGACAGACACGACATATTGAAAAGTAGAAACCAGAAGATCTACCAGAAGGATCAGAGGAATCAAGAACGTATCAAAGAAGAAAAAAAAAAAGAGGAAATGTGTTTAGCGGGGTTGAACTAAGAATAGAGGAGGTTGGCGCTTGGGTGTGATGAAAGATGCATGTCACAAGATTAAGAGATTAACTTTACAGTGACAATAGTTATATAAAGACTCTAGTTACAGAGTACACAGATTAGAAGCAGAGATTTTCCACAGTTTCCAGACTCATGTGGATGCGTAACTATCGACGCCACCATCCAGACTATTTTCTATCTTTTCTAATTTAATCCTAGGCGTATGCAATCTTCTACTCCGTATTTCGTATTTACTCTGTAGAGTGTTTTAATATATATTCTTGAACCAAATCAGGCTCAGGAGTCAGGCTCAGGATCAGAAGAGAGAAAAAATGTGCTTCTATAAAAAGAACAGGGCCCGTGGGTCTCCGATCTACATCTATACACACGGGTTTGGTGGCGAAGACCTAAAAATGGTTCGGAGAAATCTACAAGGTTGAAATGATAGGGAGTCCTTTAATTGTGTCTTATCCTTTGTTTACATCTTTGTCTATTACATACTTACATATATGTGTTTGATCAAAGCCATCTAAGACGGTATCACACGTGACGCAAGCACGTCAAAGGTGACATCGGCTCCACCCAATAGCGTCGACCTTTTTATCCGGCATTTTCCACTTTTATGCCAGGGAACCTTAAAAGGTCCATCAGTCTCTTCGGGGAGATGTCTACAAGGGAGGGGAGGTAGCAGCTTTGGGAGATATACTTGCTTTGTGACCAATAAATTTCGAAATAGCTTGTAGCTGCCTTGCTTTGAAAGGAACATATCAGAGCCAATAGAATACTACCTGCTCCGTATGGAGAACGGAGTACTCAATATACTCCATGGAATTAGGACTACACTGAAAGACCTGGGCAGGCAGAAATGTGCAAGCCTGAAAATGCTACGCCACAGACGCCACACGCACCAGCCACAAATGCGTTCCAACCTTGGAAGGTTCCAAGCCTTCGGTTCTTCCAGGGCGGTTTTCAGCTCCAGGCATCCAAAAAATCAAATCGCATGGACACGTCTGTATTAGTTCAGGGCTCATGGCTGTACTACTGGTGCGGAACGACAGTCGAATCATCCTCCACTTGGTGACTCCCCCCACTTTGACCTACTGCCTTGCTTTGACTAACCATATCCAGGATTATGACTGTTTCTATGCCTCAGTCTTTGAGGCTGAGAATCCCGAATTGAGGTCGCTTCCCTTGGCAGTTCAGCAAAAGCAGATTGTGGTAACCTGCAACTACGAAGCCCGTCGGCGAGGTCTGCATAAGTTGCAACTCATCAAAGATGCCAAGCGTATCTGTCCCGAGGTGGTAATAGTCCTAGGTGAAGATTTGACCAAGTTCCGAGATGCCTCCAAGAATCTTTATCTGCTGGTTCGCTCGCTTATCTGGGGCGGCCGTGTCGAAAAGCTAGGCTTTGATGAGCTCTTTCTCGACGTCACGGAAATGATTGACTACAACACCGGCGTGTTAAACCAACATGACTTGGCGAATTCGTATTTCTATCTTAATCGAAAGGACCCGACCGTTGGGTTTTCCTACGATGCCACTCGCTTCCAGGGATCGACCTTCCCCGCAATGGAGGCAGCCTCCGTCGCTCAGAAAGATGTGTCTTCGTTGGAAATGCGGTTGCTCGTTGCCTCTCATTTACAGGGTCACATACGGAGTAAGTTGGAGCATCAAATAGGCTTCACGGCTACAGGCGGGATTTCAACCTCCAAATTGCTGGCAAAATTGGTCGGTAATGTTCACAAGCCTAATGGCCAAACGACTCTTCTGCCGCCATATACAGCCGAAAATAATACCAGCAACGTGTTCCAGTTCCTGGACGATCACGAAATCCGAAAGATTCCTGGAATTGGATCTCGAATTTCCCAGAAATTGAAATCCCATATCACAGGACAAGAGGGGATCGACGAGACGATCACAGTCAAAGATGTCCGCCAGTTTCCTGGTATGGGCCCACCTTTACTGGACAGAATCCTTGGCGGGCCAGGCTCGGTGAAAGGGATCGGGATGCGCATGTGGAGCATTCTCCATGGTGTAGATAATTCCGAGGTGCTCGAGGGTCGCGATGTGCCCACCCAAATCAGCATCGAGGATTCATATGGCCGATTAGATACGCTCGACAGTGTACGACGAGAGCTAGTAGTGTTGTCGCAAAGTCTGATTCGCCGCGTTAGAACCGACCTGCTTGACATGAGTGATGACACCGCTCCCCAAGGGAGGTGGCGTGCTCATCCTCGCACTCTGCGGTTATCGACCCGCCCCAGACTTCCGCCAGACTTGGGTGCCGGGCGTGCGTACAATTCCAACCGCATCTCTCGCTCGGCACCCCTACCTCCCTTTATCTTCAACTTGGATGAGCATATCGATGCATTGGCTGAGCGGCTGGTCCGGGAAAGTGTTTTCTCCATGTTTCGCAAATTACATCCCGAAAAGGCTGGGTGGAACCTCAGTTTGTTGAACGTTGCGGTAACCAATATGGTGGAGAGCGCGGGAGATCAGAAGCAAAACAGTGGACGTGATATTGGGAAGATGTTTCGACAGCAGGAGACAGTACTCAAGGATTGGACTGTACAGGAACCCGAGTCATCTGTGTTGCCCGGAGATTCCCGAGAGATAGAGTCGGAGGATGGGTG